GTCATCTTCATATATGCTTAATCCTTACTAATCACTTGTGTTATTTCATTTTCTTCTGGTTTGTTTTTGTTTTAATTTCCGTTGGTTTATTAATGTCTTTGTTACTGGTTTCTAAGAACTCATTTAGGACTAAGGATGTTAACCATCTGTCATGCAATGCAAATGAAATATCAATATTATATTTTATTGCCATCAGTTTACTATGGTGTTTTGCATTTTGGTTGTGTATTAAAATATAATCATGTTGTGTTTAAAAAAATAAAAGATAGCTGCACCAACCCCTTCAACAATGACCTCTGTAAGACTTGTCTGGTCTGGCTGCCTTGGACTGTTTTTACTTTGAATACTGCTTATACCTCATAAAGATGCTCCTACTTTCATGAAGTTCCTGGAGTTGAAGAGCAGAAATGAGGACTCTATTTGGTTTGCCAGGATCCTGAGTTTTTTTAAATTTATTTATTTTTTAAAAAAAATTTTTAAAGACTTTAATTTATTTATTTAGTTTTGCTGTGTTGCGTCTTCGTTTCTGTGCGAGGGCTTTCTCTAGTTGTGGCAAGTGGGGGCCACTCTTCATCGCGGTGCACGGGCCTCTCACAATCGTGGCCTCTCTTGTTGCAGAGCACAGGCTCCAGACGCGCAGGCTCAGTAGTTGTGGCTCACGGGCCTAGTTGCTCCGCGGCATGTGGAATCCTCCCAGACCAGGGCTTGAACCCGTGTCCCCTGCATTAGCAGGCAGATTCTCAACCACTGTGCCACCAGGGGAGCCCGGGATCCTGAGTTTTTATACCTCAATACTCCTCTCCTTTTTTGGTACCTTTCATGATTTCAGCAGGTGGTTGGGAGGTTCCTGTTGTTCATATTATGGATGAATGGATGGATACAAATGTAGATACTCTGCTGCTTTCCAGATGAAACTCGCTAGCTATACCCACAGGAGGGTCAATTTTGATTCTCTCTTCACTCCAAACAGTTCTAAAATTTGTTATACACTCACTCTAGAAGTGGGAGATTTTTCCACAGGGCTTATACTCATATAGGTAATCCAAGATCTGATTATCATCTCTGTGTAATATTATTGATCATAATGATATTATAGGGATTTTTTTTTAAAACTTGTGCATTTAAACTTTTAAATAGATGAGTATTAAATCTAACTTTATTAAGTGAAGACTGTGCTTTTATAGAACTTTTAAAAAGTGATAAATGAGCAGAATATAAAAATACATATTGTTGGGTTCCCTGGTGGAGCAGTGGTTAAGAATCCGCCTGCCAATGCAGGGGACATGGGTTCGAGCCCAGGTCCGGGAAGATTCCACATGCCGCGGAGCAACTAAGCCCACGCGCCACAACTACTGAGCTTGCGCTCTAGAGCCCATGTGCCACAACTACTAAGCCAGCATGCTGCAACTACTGAAACCCATGCGCCTAGAGCCCGTGCTCCACAACAAGAGAAGCCACCCAATGAGAAGCCTGCGCACCATAACGAAGACTAGCCCTCCGCTCGCCGCAACTAGAGAAAGCCCATGCGCAGCAACGAGGACCCAACACAGGCAAAAAAAAAAAAAAAAAAAAGCATATTGGTAACACTGTATTAACTTTCATTACCCGCTTATTTCATGGTAGTTTCTAACAGCTGGTACTTATTCATCCTGATCAGCCTTGCCTCTCAGATATAGTACTTGCCTGTAATATTACATATTTACATGCTTTTGTTCTTTGTCTTCATATATGCTATATCTTTCCAATTAGACTGTGATCTTTTTGTGGATAGAGATAGGTTAATTGATTCTTTTGTATTTCCACAGTACTCAGTACAAGGCACAGTATAGGTGCATAGTAAACACGATTAAAGAAAAGGAATCTACATCTGTTAATTATTTTATGACTTCCATAGCACTTAGAATAATACAGCAGATGCAAATTATCGAATTAATAAAAATTTTATGAGTAAATAATCTTTAAATAAAAAATTATTCCTACCTTTCCCGTGTACTGTGCAATGAACCCAAATAATAGTATAAGGTACAATTAATAGTTAAATATCATCTTGTAGCTCTTTTAGATTCATTATGTGACATGATCCTTACAACAACCAAAGAATTTATACAGAGCCTATTAAAATTCTATTGTAGAGAGGAAAATCAGAGTCTAGAGAGGTTAAGTGGTGGGGCCTGAATGGAAACTGAGTTCTAACAGCTACAAATTCAATTAATGCTATCTAACTGGAGAGGCCTAACATTTAAAAAGAAGAAAGTCTCCTATAAGCTATTCTTATAAACCTTATAGACATTTAATTAATTATTTACTTACTTTCTTAATTAAAGCATTTTTAGTGTGCCTAGGTATATAAGGTACTATGCTTAACACTATGGAAAATAAAAAGTTGTACATACAAGGATTATCAGATTTAAGTAAAATAAATAAATAGTATGTGGATCAATGTGCCAGGATAATGGTATCATTATTTGGTTTTCTAGGAACTCACAGATAGTAAAAATTGGTTCCACTTAAATAAGCTAGAGAAGAGGTTCAAAAGGGCTAGGATTTGAGCTGGATCAAGAAAGACGGGCAAAATTTAGATGTCTGAAGAAAAGGCAAATTAGCATTACATTGAACAGAATTTGGCAAAGCACAGTGAAGTTACAGGGGGAGGAATACACATGTGTTGAGCAACAGTAAATAGACTGGTCTATGTACATTCATACTGGAGAACCATGTAAAGATCTTTTGAGGTCAGATTTATAGAGGGCCTTGAATGCCAGGTTACATACAGATTTATTTCAACATTTTATAGGCAATAGGGAGTCATTTGAGGTTTTGGAGTAGAGACATGATACAATGCCAGAATGCAATGGAAGAAGGGGATTGCACAGAGAGAAGCTGGGGACAGCGGTAATAATTCAGATATATATTGAAAAAGACCTGATTTCACTGGTGTTGCAAAGAGACTGACTTCAGATATTTTGAAGGAAAAGTTTATGTCCTAGATAACTTCAAGTTTACATGCCCAGGTGACTAAGAATGACGTGACCCTTAGTCAAATTGAGCGATATTTAATTGTTCTGGGGTAGGGCTCACTTTTTTTTTTTTTTTAAGCTTCTCAGGTGATTCTTAATACAGCTAAGGCAAAGCCACTCACCGGGACATTTCTTTATCTGCTTTTTAGCTTTACCAAGGCTCTGCACCCTCAAGTGACTCACAGCTTTGTCATTTTAAATTAGATTTCTAGGGATCATATGGTAGTTCTAATTTTTTGAGAAACCTCCATATTATTTTCCACTGTGGCTGCACCAATTTATATTCCCACCAACAGTGCACAGGGGTACCCTTTTCTCTACATCCTCCCTCACCAGCACTTGTTATTTCTTGTCTTTTTTTTTTTTTTTTTTCGGTACGTGGGCCTCTCACTGTTGTGGCCTCTCCCGTCGCGGAGCACAGGCTCCGGACGCGCAGGCTCAGCGGCCATGGCTCACAGGCCGAGCTGCTCCGTGGCATGTGGGATCTTCCCGGACCGGGGCACGAACCCGTGTCTCCTGCACTGGCAGGCGGACTCTCAACCACTGCGCCACCAGGGAAGCCCTTCTTGTCTTTTTGGTAACAGCCATTCTGACATGTGAGAGGTGATATCTCACTGTGATTTTGATTTGCATTTCCCTAATGATTAATGATGTTGAGTATCTTTTCATGTACCATCTGTGTATCTTCTTTGGGAGAATGTCTTTTCAGATCTTTTGTCCATTTTTAAATCAGATTTTTTTTTTTTTTTTTTTTGGCTATTGAGTTGTATAAGTTCTTTATATATTTTGGATATTAGTCCCTTATCAGATATATAATTTGCAAATATTTGTCCCCATTCAATAGGTTACCTTTTCATTTTGTTGAAGGTTTCCTTTGCCGTATAGAAGCTTTTTAATATGATTAGTCCCACTTATTTATTTTTAATTTATTATTTTAATTAATTAATATATTTTCCATGGTTAAAAATACTTTTATTTTTAAATATTTTAAGCAAACAGTTAAAAAAAGAACCCACCACACTATCCTATTAAATCAACATCTACATCAATTTAAAAACAACTACTTTGTATGATTTCTGTTCTAGATGTCTATGTGATTAATCAATCCCCTCTCTCCAATGGACTGTTAAATTTCTATATGGCATGGACTATGTTTTTCATATCTTTCAACTTCCTGCAGTACCTAGAAATGCCTGGCATATAGTGGGTATTCCAAAAAAAAAATGTTTTGCAAGAAGATTTTACCTCCATGTACCACCATGGGGAAACAGCTATACCCTGAAACCTGTAAGCACTGACATAACACTTTTGGCACCATCAGAATTTAAACATTTGGAAATGTCCAGGTACAGAGTTCTAAAAAGTTCAATTCAGATGGTTTATTGAGCACGTATATGCATTATGTTACGTGCTAGTTAATGTAACAGGAATGGAGCCAGCAAAAAAATAGTCCAAAGGTAGACTGTAGAATTGTGTGGTAATACAGAACTGAAGAAAGGAAGAAGTTTAATGGAGGAGGAGGTGATCACAAATTTCAAACATGAACAAGATTTCAAGATGCATGAGGATTATAATAAGGGTCTTAGATTGAAGCAGGTTACCTCCAGGGATACTGTTGGGATGGGTGCTTGTTGGGAAGGTTAAAGAATAAAACCACATGTTGGAAAACTTGAAAATGGGAAGGAAGAGAAATGGAGGAGTAGTTATAAAGGATAATACAGGTGAAGACCTTTGTCTGCTAAAGAAAAAGAATAGTTCATGTTTGAGGTCAGAAAGAGTGGCAGAAGAAAAATCATGGAGAGAGAAGGAATATTTATCAGAGCAAGGGGCATTATGAGTTCAAAAGGAATGGGAATCAAGGTTTTACAATGTTTATCCATAAAGCAGATTTGATTCTGGAAGCACAAAATATATTGAAGGAGTACCAGGGTTTTTAAAAATATGGTTCCTTATATTACTTTGTAACAGATTAATAGTTCCTACCTTCACCACTCTCCATGCCTTCTACAAAAATCCCCCCACATTGGGGAAGAATCCAGTACCGGCGTCTGTAACGATCCTGGCCAAACATCATCGAACGTAAAGAGTGAGAAGCGTCAAAGAGCTTCCTTCTGTACTGACTCTGTTGCTGTTAAAAAATGATGCATATAATTAAGCTACGGATGTTAAGTGCTTTAAAAATTAATACATAAGCGACTTTACACTTATTATGCCTTTAGAGCAGATAAATTTCACTACTGGGAAATGACAGCAAAAGAGTTAAATATTACAAGTCTGACTTCAATTTTAGTTACACTTATAAATATAGAAATTACTTTGAGGGTAGATGGAATATTTTTGTTGCCGTGGATTAAAGAGTTAAGTTTATTTTATCAAGTATAGTATAGTAAAGCATGTCTTATACTTAATAATAAACAGTGTGACCAGGTATTTCATTAAGCCAAAGCAAATTGGCTTAATTCTATTGATTACAATATGTAACAAATAACACTCATATATGTAATTGACCAGACCTCTATTTGCCTATTTTTATACTTATGTTGTAAACCTAGGTAACATATGACTAAATTTTGGGATAAATTTGTGATGAATCTAACATGGCTATAGTATACAGGTATCTCATAATATCAGTTTCATAATACTTTTAAAAACTCATTTTTTTAAAACAAAAAATTCATCTAAAACTTCACTAATACTACTGAAATTCAATTTTTAATGAGAAGTTCATAAACATTTATAGTTTACAAATCCAGTGAAAATAAAATCCACAAATGTACTAATATAAAATAAAACATGAGCTGCCAAAACTATTATCATAAGATTCGACTGAATTTTTAAAGTAATTAATTCCAAGAAATAAAACCATGCATTTATTGGTATTTTATACTTAAAAGAAGACCTGAAGAATAGAGGCCCTGGTGAAATTTAGTACCATGTCTTAAGACGCAAGTTTTTAACCTTGGCATTAAACTTTTAAGGTTTAATTGTGAGAATGTTTCTAAAGCTCCTCATTTTAGTTAGTTACAAAAAGCTTGTTTTTATTTAGCAACCAGAAAACCTAATCCCATACAAGGTGGATTTTTGAAATGCTGCAAAAAAATAAAATAAAATAAAAGATATAAACTGTAATCTGAAAAGTGCTTACTTTACTCAGTTTTTCAATCTGTTTTTCTAGCTCTTCAACACTTGCTGCTTGGTCACCTTCATCCTATACATAACAAAATACAGTATCATTTACCTGTTTTTAAGATTTATTTATTCAATCAGCAAATATTTAATGAAAGCCTCCTTCCTATATACAAAGTACTAGGATAGGCACCATGGAAATGAGAATATCAATATCAGTTCTTGCTCCCGATAAAGCGTTAATCTGGTAGGGAGACACATAAAACATTACACTAATAAATAAGAACTGCCAAACAGCAGAAAGCTGTAAGGACCTCAAGAGAGGTGGAAATTGAGAGTCATGGAGCTCAGGGAAGGGTGAGATTACTTCTAGTGGGAACCTATACCAAGAGAGGCTATATGGAAGAAGTTATGTTTTAATCAGCTACTGAAGAATTGTTAGGATTTGATTGATCAGAGAAAAGAGGACAGGGCATTTCAGAAAGAGTTTGACCTGAAGAGGTAAGGTGGGGAGATGAGGCACAGATGAGTTTAGGGCTAAATTATCTAGAGCTGTAAGTGCTTGGCAATGGACGATAATATGATCCTTTGAGGGAGATTAAATACCAGAACTATGCTTTACAAAGATTAGTATGGTAATAGTTGTAAGATGGCCTGGAGCAGGGAAAGGACTACAGTTGGCAAATCTAGTTAGCAAATTGTTGCAATGATTCAAGAGGAAAAGAGGATGTGGGTCGTACTAGGATAAAAGAAATAGAAAAGGAGAAAAGGAAATGGATATAAGAGACAGTACATAGTCAGAACTGTTAAGTCCTGGCAGCTCACGGATACGAGGCAGAAATGTGTGAGGGAGATGAAGGAAGGAGTAAATTATGGTATTAAGGGTTTAAATCTGGGAGACTGCAAAAATATTGGTATCATTAACTGAAAGAGTCATTTTAGAGCAAAAAAGGGTAAGTTATATTTTGAACACATTTTGAGCTTTTAGAAGAAAAATAATCCCTACTATATAGAGTACTGATTTCATAAATAGAAATTTTGTGATTATATAAAATTTTTCATTCTACAAAATGAATATAGGAAAGCTACACCCAAAGTATATGTTTTAGAGGGAAAGCATGGCATAATATAAAGTATATGTGCTTCTTTAGACCTCAGCTGCACGATTTCATATAGGCAAATTATTTAACTCCTCTAAAACTGTTTCCTAATCCGTAAATTGGTGATAACATTATCTTGTGATAACATTATCTGTAACATGGGATTTTTGTGAGGACTAAATAAGAACAGACCTGAAAGCAACTAGCAGAGTTCCTGGTACATAATATATAAATAAGGTTACTTTCCTTCTTTCCGAAAGTTGTCCTTTAATTAGAAAATGTAGGTACATCTCAGGTTTAAAAAACATAAGCAATTGTTTTTGATGTTCACTTTCTATATGCTTTTTAAAAAAGCCACACTGCCACCAACCACTCTCACGAACAGACATTTCTAAACCAGTATAGTTATCTTGCCAACAGAAAGAAGTGAAAGGAAAACTTCAATAGTTTTACCATTCTCTATCTACTCTTTACACAAATTTAGGGGACCAATTTACAAAGGCATTTAGGCATATTATTTGTGGTAATAATAACATCATTTCTATTTATTTATTTAAACATCTTTATTGGAGTATAATTGCTTTACAATGTTGTGTTAGTTTCTGCTGTATAACAAAGTGAATCAGCTATACATATACATATATCCCCATATCTCCTCCCTCTTGCGTCTCCCTCCCTCCCACCCTCCCTATCCCACTCCTCTAGGTGGTCACAAAGCACCGAGCTGATCTCCCTGTGCTATGAGCTGCTTCCCACTAGCTATCTGTTTTACATTTGGTAGTGTATATATGTCAATGCTACTCCTTCACTTCGTCCCAGCTTACCCTTCCCCCTCCCCGTGTCCTCAAGTCCATTCTCTATGTCTGCGTCTTTTTTCCTGTCCTGCCCCTAGGTTCTTCAGAACCATTTTTTTTTAAGATTCCATATATACATCATTTCTATTTAAAAGAGAACAGGCTCAATGACCCTTAAACCTTGACTCTTCAATTAAATAGATATTTAATAGCTATATGATTGTATAGTGACCGTTTGACCAGCAGGATGTTTGATAATTTGCTTACATAAAAATCAACTCTATCAACAAATATTTGAAATAAGACATCAAAGTAGCTATGTATCAGTCAAATTAGCTAACTACCAGTTCTAAGACTTTTCTTATGATGAAAAAGAAATAAAACATCTACTAAAGTTTTATTTAAAGGAGCTTTGGCTAATAGTCCTTATAATTTAAGAGATATGAAGGAATTTGAAAGAGAGAAAGGCAATAACGACAAAGCTAAGAACGCAGAATCTATCCCTGCCATGGTTCCCCATGGTTTCCCAATCAGAAGAGAAGGCTGTTGTATGTGTCACTCGATATCAAAGTTTAATTGTCCACATAACCTCCTCCACAGCAACTTGTGAGGTTAAAGCTCACATAGATTTCAACACAAACCTAAGTATTAGGGACAGAGTCCATGTGTTGAAGGAATGAAGAGTGAAGAAAAGTGGGAATCACCCTTGAGACAGAGGGCTGTGACTTAGTCTCAGGGCAGTATCTTCTAATTGAAAGGGATCACATGGGTCTCAATGGAAAGGCTCCTGCAATTAGTCCTTTAAGGAGTATAACTACTGACACTCTACCTATACTTTAATCAAGAGGCCAGACCTATTTTCAGAGGATAATCTTATCAATAAGGTTCATTAAATAGTTAATCTTTAATTTTATTAGTGGTTACCACTTCTTCATGATAAAGAAAAACTCTCAAATAATTTAAAGGAAATGCTAATTTGGTTTCTTAGGTCCTAAAATATTCAGTATTTTCAAATGTTTTTAAACTGTTTTCTCACATTAATAACAAATACACACTTGCCAGGATTTTGATCACTCTAATTAATTCTATAATTCAACATTCATAAAAAATAAAAATGACTACTTTAAATGACACATCCGGTCTTAAAATATTAAAAATGATGTTTAAATCATTAGTACTGATTTTTAATAGTCTTCATCTCCCTTAAAGAAAAACAAATGCATAGTTTGTTAATTCTCCATGTGAAAAAGGCCAGGTGAAACACATAATTTCTGTAAATAAATTCCAATTTAGTGGGATGACCACCCAGTAGAAGATACTGAAGTCCCAACACAAGGCTGTCAAATTTATGAGAGTTAACACCTTAAAACAATTTATAATATTAAGTGCTGAAAAGGGATGCTAATTCTAGAAAAAGGTGATTAGTATTGGTCAGAAAAGTTTAATTCCTGCTGTGGAAATAGCTCTACTTGCCAAATGAAGCAGATTGGTTATAAATAGTATCTTTGGGTCATTACAATACTGATACCCAAATTATATACCCTTCACATTATCTGTCACAGCATGAAAGTATTTGATCAAGTGGTTTCAGAAATACAACATTATGAATTAATTTCTGCAAGGAATCTCAGTGGAGTCTCCTTTTCAGCCTGGTACTCTTAAGAGAAGTAAAGCTCACTCTAACCATTTTTATCATTCTGGTTTAAAATATAACAGGGGGGGTGGAATTTATGAAAACATTGTGTATTTATGCTATTTTTACTTACAAGAAATTGTATAGCACATGATCTTATAAATTATATTATTATCCAGGTTTAGTAAAAAATTTGATTCAGTAATTTGTCATTGGTCTTGATTAGATATTATTTTCACACATTCCATCAATAATTCATCTCTCTAAGTCTTCTTTCTTTATTTCTCCAGCAGTACTGAGTTGATACAAGAAAGGAGAAGAGTTCTTTCTAGACTTCCTTGGCTAAATACTCCTGGCATCAAGGGCAGAAGGAATAGTTGGCTGTATATTGTTTTCTGAATGCCATTCTGCAACCCTATCAATATTTCTAGCATTCTTTTCTGGTAAAAGGTAAACATCAACCCTTATCTCCCTTTTATATATGTCCATTTCCATGGCTTATGGTAGCTTCCCTTACACACACACACACACACACACACACACACACACACACACCCCTCTGTGACCTTGCCTTCTTCCCTTTAGCCTGCTCTTCAAAGCTAGCCCCTCTCTTTACCTTAATTGAATCCCCTCCAATAATTTTCAGGACCTTATATCATTAACTATTCTCTTCCTCTCTTTAATCTTCAGTGCCCCCCTCTTATTTAATTGGCTCTTTCCCTTCAACCAAAATTCATCTCAAACCTTCCGCATATGAAAAATCCTTGGTCTTTGTCTGCCTCTAGGAACTACCCTTTCTTTTGAGGCATAATGCTTGAAATAGTTAAGTTTACTTTCTCACTTTCTATTGTTTTCAATCAATCATAGCCTGGCTTGTGCTCTCACCCTTCCAACGAAACGGTGCTGGCACTGGTTACCAATGACCTCTGTGTTGCCAAATACAACGAACACTTTCAGCCCTTGTCACACTAGGCCCCTGCTCCCTTAACATTGTTTATCATTCCCTCCTTTTTAAAATGTTCAAGTTTCTTGATTTGTATTATTATGACATGTGTAGAAGAGAGTTAACACTGTAGGCCCTTGAAAGGTCGGCTTACAAAGCTGGCCCTTGGCTAGTGTCTGGGAACTTGAATTTTGGGGGGTTCTCCCACCCTAACTGATAAGAATAGCTCACTGGACCTAAACTGTGCTAACAATGTGGGTTATACTGAACATCTACTTTTCTTTTGGGAATCTGGAATTTGGCACATGTTATGCAGAGGGTGCCTATGTGACCAGCCCTGAATAAACAACTCTGGGCACAGCGTTTCTAAAGAGCTTCCTTAGAACACAGCATTTCACAGACTGTCGCAGTTCACTGCTGGGAGAATTAGGCCCATCCTGTGTGACTCCACTGGGAAAAGACTCTTGAAAGCTGGGCCTGGTTTCCTCTGGACTTTGGCCCATATGCCTTTCTCTTTGCTGGTTTTGCTTTGTTTCCTTTTGCTGTAATAACTCGTAGCCATGGCATGACTAGATGCTGATTTCTGTGAGTCATCCTGGTGAATCGCTCTGACTCTGGAGGTGGTCTTGGTATTGGAAATACCTGACCCACTACAGAAATTTTCTACCTCTTTGTTCCTTCTTCAACAAGAAGCCTTGTGGGCTCTTCTTAAACATTGACATTCCCTGGGGTTCCAACCTCAGTCCACTACTCTAATTAATAAACCAATCCCGCTGTGCAAACTTATCCAACTCATTATTTTAAACTATTGTCTATGTGCTAATAACTTCCAGATCTACACTTTCAAGACTGAACTCTTCTCCAGACTTTAGATTCTTTTTTTTTTTTTTTTTGCGGTACGCGGGCCTCTCACTGTTGTGGCCTCTCCTGTTGCGGAGCACAGGCTCCGGACGCGCAGGCTCAGCGGCCGTGGCTCACGGGCCCAGCCGCTCCGCAGCAGGTGGGATCTTCCCGGACTGGGGCACGAACCCGTGTCCCCTGCATCGGCAGGCGTACTCTCAATCACTGCGCCACCAGGGAAGCCCCCAGACTTTAGATTCTTAAATCCAACTGACTGCTGAGCTTCTGAACAGGCACGTCAAACTCAACATGTCCAAAATAAACCTTCCATCATTTCCTGTCTTCAGTTATCTGTTCCATATTCCCCTCCTCCCCTGTCATCTATTTCCTCTGCTCCTTCTGATTTCTCTGTCTCAGTTAATGGCAACAATAGCAGAGCAAGCAGTCCCCAAGCCAGATAGCTGGAATCAATCCTACCTCTCCCTCCATCAACCTACACGGTCCATCTTCAGATACTACTCATTTTTCCTCCTAAATATTTATTGAATCCTTTCCTTCCTTTAGTCCAGTTTCAGACCCCTCATAATTCACCTAAACTACTGCAATATCTCCTGACTGATCTTCCTACCTCTGATCTTGCTCTATTCAAATCTATTTCTATCTTCCACAGAGCTGCCATAGTGAGCCAATGAAAAAAATCAAGTCTGACCATGTCATTCCCTCACTTATAAACCTTCAGTGGCTTCCTATTACCACAAAACTATAAAATCCGAGTTCACGGTTGTGGCATGTGAAGCTGTCTCGTAACACTAGAGCACTTGTAAGTCGCTTAAAGCACGTTGTGGTTTCAAGGCTTCTGCGCCCTTGCTCATGCTGTTCTCTCTGCTTGGAAGGTTTTTCCATGGATTCCTGGATTCTTCTCTAGGTTAACATTTAGTCCAACTTGTAGCCTCAGCTAATGAGTCCAGGAAGCCTTTGTGAAAATTTATTCCTCAGAAAGGTTCAATGTCCTTCCTTCGTACCTGCCTAGTACATTGTAAATACCGCTATCAAAGCAGTTAACACTTAACACATTACATTTTCTTACCGTAAATCTTCCTCAGTGAGACTGTAAATTGAGAGGGGACTTTGATCAAAAATGCCTAGAGCTAAAAAAAAAAGGGAAAGAAAAAACGCCTAGAGCTAGGCACTTAATAAACTGGGCTTTGAGAAATACATCACTTTCATTAAACCTGACAACACTTTTAAGGCATGAAGTATTGTGCAAAATAAATGTCAGATAGCATGTTAAATAGACAGAATGAAAAAGGATACCTAAAATTAAGAATCTGAATAGTTCTCTGGAGAACTCTCATTATATAAACAGAAAAACTTAACTTCTTTTATTCAATGTAAATGCCCTCTATGTACAGAAGGCATTGTATTCTACTCAATATTTACCTAACCATCACAAAGAACTTTGAGGTGAATATTAGAATATCCAGTTTCACATGAAGAAACGGAGTCAAGTGTGACAACGAAATTCAAACCCTAATCTATTTGACTTCAAATTCTGTGTTATTTTCAGTATGTTATGTAATGTTAGTTAAGTGTTGAAATCGACCTAAATTTGATTACCTCATCTTCACAGATCTCAGCCTTCTTTCCTTTTTTGTCTTCTTTATCCTCTTCATCCTCATCATCTTCATCAGCTTGGTCATCACTGTCCTCGTCATCATCATCATCGTCATCACTATCTCCTCCCTTCCTTCTGCGTTTGCGTCCTGGCGTGGGTGTGCCCAACGGATGCTGTTCTTCTCCAAGATCAATGCCACCTGAAGGGTCTCTTTTGCCTGTTTTCTTAGCATGAATGATTCTGAGCCTTTAAGTGTGAAAAAAATGATGATATGGAAGAAAAGCCTTCTTTTTATACTTTTTGAAGAGCGTACTATGAGTTGTAAGCAAAAATACCTTATGGCATTTCTCTCACAGTAATCAATAAATGAATGACAATAAAAATTCGCATGAAGCAAACTTAAGAAATATGTTCCCAGAAACTACAAAATATATTAACATTCAAGAATTATTCTGGCTATCTCTTTGGAATTAGAATACGTTTTTTAAAAAACCAGAAAACTGAGACGACTAACTCAGGAATGGCCAAGTGGTAAGACCTGATCCTATACTATCTGACTGAATAAGTTTCAATTCAAGTTACTGCAGAGAAACTATCCTCTTAACACAGAAGCTGAATAATTTCAGCATTATATTTCCTAGCAGGAAGCTAATTAAGTTTTAATGCTGAATACATTTGGATATGTTAGGCCCTCTATAAAAGCAAATTTTAATTAGAAAGCAATTAAGGAAAAAAGTAGTGACAAAAATAACCTGATAGCAACAACAATCTTAGAACATGTGATTGCTTGACTTCTTTGAAAGAAAAAAGATAAATTGACTTTCTTCTAAGTTTGAAGCATATGAGCTCAGTGAATATCATTATATCTTTTGTCTACTGAAAATTCTGGCACTGAGTTTTATTAGTTTTATATCTCATCTTAAGCTTTACCTTTTCTAATTCTTAGACAAAATAAAGTTTAAATTCTACCTTTGCAATTTGTATGTTTTACTCAGAAACTTGCAAAAAAGGAAAACAGTATATTAGTTTTAATAAAACATAACTTACTTGCGGAGTTTACCTTCTACCACCCATTTATCTCTCCTCAAATTTGACATGTAATCAATGTTCTTGTCGATTTCACTGCCAATGCAAAAGTTTATTAGAAGACATATATTAATCCATTATGCAATACATTAATTTGGTAAGCAAAATGATGCAGTTTGGGGGTAAGTACAAATGATGATTGCCAATGAACAGCAAAAACAAATGAAAAATTATATTAATACATAGCTAAGAGATGTATAGAAAACTTAGAGATGCCCAGCAATGGTAGAAATGCATGGCTCTGAAATGTTTGGATTGATTATTTTCCTAGAAAGGTAAAGGAATAAAAGTAACATAATTAAAATCTGTAAAATAATGAATAGTAAGAACAAGATGAACATGAAATTTGTTCACCAAATCTTCAAATACTATAGTGGAGGACTTACTTTGACTCTGAAATGAGATTAAGTACTTTTTTTTAAAGTGCAAATTAATACACAATAAATAAATAATATTAAGATTATATCAGCACATGATAAAAAGTAGGTAGATAATTCTACAAATGGCAGCTACTAAGGAAAATCAGGTAGTCATTTATCATCAAAAGATAAAAGAAAAATTCTAGGTTTTTGCAACAGTGCTGGATTCTGGAGCCATAGCAAGAAAAACCTGTTTACACTTCAGTATACAAATAAATAACAAAATTACCAAATAAACAAAACGGGTTACAAAGACTATACACAGTATGATTCAAAATTTCTTTTCTAATAGACTGCAAAGAAATACATTGAAACGTTATTAGCAGTAGTCATCTCTGAATGGTGAGATTAGTGTAACTTTAATCTTTTTCTTTGTGGTAGTCTGTAACTTCAAAATTTTCTACAAGCAATTTGTATTACTTTGTGACCAGACAAATTCAAAACAGAAAAGAATCACCAGAAACGTCTGGGCATATGCTTACCTCACCACACTCTTGCTGCACGCCAGTTCATTGATCAGGAAAGCCAGAACTGAGGCTTTCTGTGCCGGAGTGTGAGCCTGAAAAGCTTTGGTCTTCAGGCTTTCAGTAAGCTCAGTTTGTCCACAGTGTGCTTCCATAAAAATTTGCAAAATCTCGGATACATTGTCTCGATTCACACCTACATTCATCAAATGTTCTCCAAGAGCTGTTTTGGCCTATAAAAGGTTGGCATTTTTATCAGTATTGACCACAACGACTCATAAGATATAAACAATAAGACTTTTAAATATTGGTATTATACGATTTAGATATTACTGACAAGGGCTTTATTCACATTTTTGATCAAGTGGCGATAAAACATGACGTTCAACGTCATTTACTCAACAGATGATGGACAAGTTTTCAAGTACTTGTAATTTTTCTATTCCTTCTTCAAACCCTTGGTTAAAAAGTTCGGTGGGGGAAAGGGTATGTAAACTTGTGGCTAAAAATGGTCTCACCATACCTTCTCTGACTACAGACACTATCCCAAGCTTTATCCAGGCTCTACCAGTAGTAGTGGGGGAGAGGTTGAAAAGTACTAGCCATGTGTTTTCTTGCTCTATGGTGTCACGGATTTTACTGCCTAGTATGCTGAATGAATAGGGAGATGGAAAAAAAAAGTAACAGGTGCATCTGGAAGATTCTCTCTACATTATCTAGAGCAAAGCTGACTGAAATGTGTATCCTGATTGGAATTAAGATAAATTTGACTTATTGAGTATCCACTCAGCAGTACAGTATCTAACATGCTGGTCTGTAGGGGCCTTGATTAGCCTCTGTTATTCATAGTGTTTCAGAGAGAACACAGTGTAATTTCAGAAGGCACACATAAGTTAATTGCTTTATGAATTAAGAATTCTCTGTTTTGCTGAATATCACTTAGGTATTTCCTTAAATCAGATTGCTTTTTGCCAAAAGCTAGAGGGAAAGAAAGTAATTTGGTAATGATTTACATTCCTTAGGCTTTGTGAACCAGGTTTTTCTAAGTTTGCACCAATTGTACCAATCTACCTTTAACTTTGTAAGAAGTTATGTAGAAAAAATTGGATCTGTCTATACAATCTTCTGCTAATACACTAAAGCCAGCTATCAATGCACTGACGGTACAAATTAAAAATATTTTATTTTGGGTTTTTTTACCTTGTATCCTGTAATTAGACCTGGATCACATACAGCAGCTGAGAGGAGCCTCACAAGCAAGTCTTGTACTTCACCCATGCTGTCCCCTATGTTTAGCAATCCCTCTTGAAGAACACTCAGGTTTGGAACATCAATATTCACATCGAAGCCCAAAACTTTACCAAAGTTTCGTAAGAACTGCACCACCATGAGACAGTCTGAAAATGTACTTCCAGAGAGAACAAGTCCTGGAATACGAGGCAACTCTGGCAAAGGCTGAAAATAAAAGAAAAGAGAGAAAAGGTAATTCAAAAAGCCATGATTTTATAGCTCCTGAAGTAAAGTAAGTTGCTATTTTTCTCTTGCATTATACCAGTGGTTTTCCCGCTGGATTGTAAATTCCCTGGGGGCATTTCTATAACCCCATGGTACTAAGCATAGAATCCTGAACACAAGTAACCACTAATAAATTTTGGTTGAACTCAACATGAACTTAGATCTCTGCAAAAGAGAACGCTAATTTTAACTTAGGTATTGATAAAACACACGTTATACGACTGGAACAAAAATCAGATAACATAAGAAATAAACATCTCAAAAGTACTTTAACACGTACATACTTAGTAGGGCATGTGCAATAGTTTCTTCTACTGATGTAGACTGATTTATAATTCACACTTTTTTGGGAGCTCAGAAGTTAACAGTGTGCATCTGTGTGCTGCATCATTGGAGAGAGTACCATATCTGGCTAATGACTGCAGATAAATTACTAAGTCCACATGACCAGAACCCATGACCCTATCAAGAACCCAGTAATACTGCAACTATCAGTCTTTAGGTTTCCAGTATATTAGTGAAACATTGAATTTCAGTGTTAAAATTAGAGAGCTCTCTTGCTATTTCTCAAATATGCTCACATATTAACATTTTAATGACTAAACTGTATTATCAGTTGTTATGGACATTTTAAAAGTTAGATAAATAAGTAACCTAAATTAAAAACATTTTTGTCCATGAATGGGATTCAATAATAGTACTTTCAATTCTGAGTGAGAAAAACGTGGCTTGTAAATATTTCTATTTATCTAAATTTGCCCTTGTTCAAAAACGTTTCCTCCACTCTGCTTGCTGAAATAACTAACCAAAGACTTTTTCTACTAATAGTGTGTGGAAACACAGAACTATGGACAATTGCTGATATCATACAAATCTCTTGTTACATATGAAAACCATTTAATTCTGAGTTTTCTTTTTTCCTGAATCAGATCAGACATACACATTTCCATATGATTCTAAAAATTTATATAACAAAGCTAACGAAAGTAAGGCTTAAAAAGGACTTACAAATATTTGATATAGTGCATATGGATTTAAATGAAAACAAAAGATCACTTAGGACAATTTAGGATTAAAAAAAGATCATTTAGGATTAGCAAGAAAATAAAGCTCACTTAGGATTAAAAAAATTGCTCACCAGGAGGTTATTAAATGTGTTGACTAACCACTACACCCATTCTGTGCTTAGGAAATTTTAAACATCAAATTGACTAAAACTAGAATGTATACTTTCATTTTTATTTAGAAGCATTTATGCTAGGTAAATAAATAGAATATTAGTATCATTAAATTTTCCACTTGGGTACTAAAAGTTTGCTTTAAGCACTTTAGAAAAGAGCTTGCATAATCAAGAGACAAGCACTATCTGTATATCATATGGCATGTAAGTAAATATAGATGCTATTGACCAAGTATAATATTCTATTACTGAGACAGTATTATAGATATGATACGCATTATTGTATAATTTTCTAGGAATACTATCTTCTTAACTATAGCCAAACAGAATTGATTTCTATTCATAAGTATGTGAAATCATGCCAGTTATCATGGTGATTTTGCTCTTTCCAAGTTGCTACTTTTCTGTATTTTAGCAACATTATAAATCTGTGAAGCATGATGGAAGAGAAAACACACATGAGGTACTTTGCTTGGACACATTTCTTGGCTTTCAGGATCATAAACAGTATGGGCTCTGGAGTTTAAAAAACTGGGGACTGCATCCAAGTTGCCACTTATGAGCTCCATAATCTTGAAGAAGTTCCTTAACCTCTCTGTGTCTCAAGTTTTCTCATCTGTAAATACCAGTCCTATAGGATTGTGGTGAGGATTAAATGAGAAAATTCATTTAAAGCACTTAGCATAGGGCCTGGCATGTACTAAACATATTCAATAGTTAGCTACCATCACTAAAGCATTGAAGGAGGTTATAGATTATAAATCCTGATTTATTTAAATATCCATGGAGGCATGGGGGAGGAGTTAGATCTTTCTGTAACTAAATGCCTGGGAAGGACCAAATGAAACACAGAAATCCTATCTATTTCTATAATTCATTTTTATATATTTCTGCAGTATTTCTACTTAAATTAAAAAGGTTTACAGTGCTCCGTTTGTATATTAAGAACTGCCATTATCAGCACAGGGCTCTAGAGAGGTTTACTGGTGGCCATCCAGGAGAGACAGATTGACCTAGACTTGGAAATCCACTGCACCAGCTAAAAACACAAGGCTTTCATAATGGCCGCTCTGGCAAAGGAATCAGGTGAGAACACAGAAAAAATTAAACTTATTAATGAAATGGTTTACTTGATAAATTACCTTTTGGTCTGCTAAGCACATGTCTTCATTAGGCTTCTTTAGTTCCTTTGCCATTTCTAATTCTAATCTTCGTTGCTCTAGTTTACGTTCTTTATTTAATCTTTTCTCATCACGTTTTTCTTGCTTTAACCGTTCTTTTTCCTTAAAAAGAAAACCATGTCCACATATTCTGTTTAATCATTATACATGTTTTAAAAACCTCCAGTTAAAATTTAAAAAGTAATCAAAGTGTTATTTCCATGAAAAAAATTCTCTTAGGATGTTTAGGAATAGACTTGGAATTACATAGAAACAATGACGTATTTTGCTTTTCAGCGTTTTCACCTTTTGAGTTTCAAAATAATCTTATGAGTGTATGTATATACACATACATATACAAAATATCAATATTAGTTTCAACCCAGATTATTTCATTATTCAAAATTTATTCAATCCTCTCCCAGGTTATAATATGAGAATAAAATAGTTATTAATAAAAGCAGGTATATAAAAGACACATGGGCAAGTAAATATTCATAAAAAAAGTTAACTAGTATGAGCAAAAATTTTTGTGTAGCACAAGGAAGCAAGAAAAGATTTACAGCATGAAAATGGAAGCAACATGTTTGAATCTGCAAACGCAGTTCTTTCACAGTGAATTAGCTGGTCTTAAGACGTGCACCTATGATGAAATAAAAATATTATTTACCACTCTAAACAACATTTAAAATAATGTAAAATGGGTTTTGAAGGCAATTCCAAAAGCTTTAAAATTATTTTGGGTAATGGCAACAATATGGAAATAATCATCCTGTTTCCCTGTTGTAGAGTATGGCATTCTTTTGGAAGAAGTGACTTTCTATAATAATACTGGTGTCATTACTTTATCGTCACACATCAAATACAATTCTCTTTTTAAACTGAAGTATAACTGACTTACAATATTATATTGGTTTTAGGTGTACAACACAGTGATTCGATATTTTTATACATTCTGAAATGATCACCATAATCAAGTCTAGTTACCATACAAAGTTATTACAATATTAATGACTATATTCCTTATGCTGTACATTACATCCCCATGGCTTATTTATTTTATAACTTGACATCTTAATTCCTTCACCTATTTCATCCATTCCCCGCAATCCCCCTCTCCCCTCTGGCAGCCGCTAGTTTGTTCTCTGTATCTACAAGCTTGTTTCTGTTTTATGTTTGTTTTGCTTTCTAGGTTCTACATATAAGTGAAATCATATGGTGTTTGTCTTTGTCTGACTTATTTCACTTAAGACAATACCCCCCAGGTCCATCCATGCTGTCGCAAATGGTAAGATTTCATGCTTTTTTATGGCTGAGTAATATGCCATTGTATATATACATATATATCATCCTCTTTATCTATTCATCTATTGATGAACACATAGGTTGCTTCCATGTCTTGGCGATTGTAAATAGTGAGGCAGTGAACATGGGGGTGCATGTATCTTTTCAAGTTCGTGTTTCCATTTTCGTTGGATAAATACCTAGGAGTGGGATTGCTGAATCATGTGGTAGTTCTATTTTTAAGTTTTTGAGAAACCTCCATATTGTTATCTATAGTGGCTGCACGAGTTTACATTCCCACCAACAGTGGACAAACACCCCCTTTTCTCCACATCCTTGCCAACACTTGTTACTTCTTGTCTTTTTGATAATAGGCATTTTGAGAGGTGTGAGGTTATATCTCATTGTCCTGTGCCCACAATCAAATCAAATACAACTCTTATTTATTAGAGGAGAAATAATGGTAGAATCAACAGGCAATTCTAAACTATTACCACATACGTCTTTCAATTTTCTTTATTTTTGCCAAAATAAAGTCCAAATCCTTACTTTTGAATTCAGGACTCTCTTCTTTTCCAACCTTATCTCCCACTGTTATAGTCTATGTAAATTTAGTCAAACTATTTGCCATTCCTGATAAACATCTATTGTTTTCTTACCTCCTTATATTGGTGTACTCCAGTTAGGAAGGTCATTATTCCCATCTTGCATACAAATCCTAATTAAAAACCTCCACCTCCTTCCTATTCCTAATTTCTCTTAATCGTCTTACCTAATTATAGCTCTTACCTATAATTTTAACCTAGCACTATTGCTTCCTCTAGTATATTAGCATTTTTGCCCATATCTTAACCATCTCCATTTCAATTATCACTGGTAAGACAGCACGCTGACTGCTGCGGCAGAGCATGCTAAGGGGGAGACAGAGAGGAGTGGAGAAGTAATACATTCCCAGCCAAGAGCTGAGAAAGCACGATTCTTGGATATTATTTTTACCTAGTGATATGCAGTATCTTTCGAATTAAAAAAGCATGCCCATAATATGGAATAGAATGTAAAAGTGACATCTATACCTTAGGATGAAATGGAGGTTTGCAAGAAATCTTAGAAATTCATAGGACCTTTATTACTTAAAGACAAGCATCTACTCCCTCAATGGGATACTTTAAGGGAAACATGGAGTCTCTAAATTTAATGCATTTATTCACTAATTTATTTAGTGACTTCTACTGAATTGTATAAGACTAATACAAATCCTGTGGTTTTGGTGCAAAATGACTCTCAAAGAACCAGAGCTTCTAGGATCCCCTCAACGATCAACTAATATTTAAAATGGCATATAAAGACAGTCACAATCTAGCCCCACACAAGTTCTGGTCTCCTATCTCATGATTCTCAGTGAATCTCCCGAACTCTAGGCACATTTTGTGATACAACTGTGTTGAGCAAACAGTGTAACCAGTTTGAGGCACTGCTTGGATGATAATGATAATGATCATGAGGGGCGGAGCGGGGGAGGGGGGAGGGGGGGAGGGGGGAGAGGGGGGAGGAGGGGGAAGAAGAGGAGGAAAAGCAGCAAAGCCAAGAGAGGTATATGCACAAGGTTAAAATTGACTAACCCCCTCTTTGTACCTTCCTCCCAAGACCCCAGAGGTCCTGTTTAGTTGCAACATTGTATTTATGTACCTGTCATCCCCTCTGACTGGAATGCATAGCCCTTCCTACTTCACACAAAAATAAAGCCCGTGTTTTAATTTTTCCCACAGCTAGTTCAGGAGTTTTAACATTTCCCTTTTTTGAGCTTCCACATAACTTATTACAGCATTTATTGCACTGAGTGCCAATTATTTGTTTAAAGTTGATCTCTCGCACTGTAGTGTGAACTTCTAGAGATCAGAGGAACCAACTTCTGCACCTCTTTATGGACCTATTCAATTCCCAGAAGTATAATTTGCCAGAAACCCTCAGGAGAGTTTTTAATATTATCTTTGTCTCTGACAACTCAAGCCTGTATCAGTGCAATTTTCCTCTCGCACTGGTCTAAATATTGTTCTTATTTCCAACTATAATAGTTATCATATGTCTCTAATGGACATATACAGTGTGCATTAGCATATAAAAATTATTTAAGCGTTAATTTGTTGAATGATTAAATCTACAAATGCCACATTGTTTAAATTTCAGGGCAATAACTTACAGTGTCTACAAATGACTACGAAATATAGCTCTTAACTATATTTTAGATTGACTATAAACAATTACAAGCAAATTAGAATGCCTCCTTCCAATTTTGGGGGGCCTTTATTCCCAACTTTCCCCGTCCTTACGCAGTTTTCTAGATGTAAAAATTTATGAAATAAATGTAGATTATTGGTATATATGTCATTTACAATAAAATATCTTTTTATCATCTTAATTATAGTAATGAAATTTTCTGTATCAAAATATTACTTATATCCTAATTAAGAAGTCATTTAAATTTCATTCAAAGTTGCAACACTTTTCAATAGCAAAAGTGTTAAATTTAGATTACACTAAATAGCCTAAGATACATAGGGTGAAAATTTTAAATGCATAAAAGGATTATTTTAGGGACTCTAAATGCATAACTGAAAGTATTTCTAGAACTCTATAGCAAAATAACAAAGGTATGAAATGAATTTATTCTATTTTAGAATCATAGAAGTTGAAAAACTAAGCAATGAGTGTGGTAGGAGGATCTGTTATTATAAAGTTTTACAACTTATCAAATTGCCAAACAGGCCATTTTTAAGAGGCCATGTTGCAAAGATGCCTATGTTTCCTGTATTTTATGATTCTACTGGGTCTCTTAGGTGTTTGCTCTGGGCATAATTAGGAAATTACATCTCTTTTCACAGCAACTGTACTTAAATTTCAAAGACATAAATATTCTTTAAGAGACACAGATTTACCTCAGGGTGCAAGAAGAATAAAGTGTAAATAAGATTAATAACATAAGCCATTTATAGAAGACAGATATAAAGAATAAAAGTGATACTATTTTATGTCACATATTGAGCGTGAGTAGAAAAATCAGGGTAATTTTTTTAAAGGGCCTATTTTTTTTTTTTTTTGCGGTACGCGGGCCTCTCACTGTTGTGGCCTCTCCCGTTGCGGAGCACAGGCTCCGGACGCGCAGGATCAGCGGCCATGGCTCACGGGCCCAGCCACTCCGCGGCATGCGGGATCCTCCTGGACCGGGGCACGAACCCGTGTCCCCTGCATCGGCAGGCGGACCCCCAACCACTGCGCCACCAGGGAAGCCCCTTAAAGGGCCTATTTTTACATTTAAAATGTAATAATAAATTAAGTTTAAACAAATGAAAAAGTTATGAATCCATGATAAAAGAAATCCTTATATTTAAAATTTTTAATAAATTTATATATTATTTATATTATATTTTATTGTATTTTACAGGTATCAATATAAAATACTATTTAAAAAGAGTAAAAATTTTCAGTTATCACATTTTCATAAAATCCACCAAAGTAGTACACAAAAGTCTGTACTTACTTTAGATTAACTATCACCAAATATTCTTAGAGTAGCTACTACTATACAAATGTCTGCTAAATTAAAATCAAAATTGTTAATTCTTGAGTCAGATAAGTAGAGATTTTAATACATCTAAATTACATTGATAATAATTCGTTCCAAAATTTGCATGTATCTTTTAAATGTGTATGACATTTAACATTTTACTGAATAGTTAATATAAAATCATTTTACATGGGGTTTTTTTTTGTTTTTTTTTTTGCGGTACGCGGGCCTCTCACTGCTGTGGCCTGTCCTGTTGCGGAGCACAAGCTCCGGACGCACAGGCTCAGCGGCCATGGCTCACGGGTCCAGCCGCTCTGGGGCATGTGGGATCTTCCCGGACCAGGGCACGAACCCGTGTCCCCCGCATCGGCAGGCGGACTCTCAACCATTGCGCCACCAGGGAAGTCCTTACATGTTTTTAAAGACAATTTAATTTTAAAATTGAAATTAAGTACATTATATAAAGTACAATACACAAGTATGTCATATAAGTACATTTATTATATCTTCAACTGAAAAATGGGTTTGTTTAAACAAAACTGTCTACATGAGCAATTCTTTTTATTTTTCACTAAGTAATGATTAGTATAAATATAGGATTATAAAATATTCTCATGACTTGAATCATTGAATGGGTGATACATTTTTTATGCTTGCAAATTATTAGATGATTTCTGAAACCTGAACTACTCTCTTCTATTTATGGTTTTGTCTCCTACAGTGCTGACACAGTCATTCTGTAATAGACGCATGTTTAACAACCTTTTGTTGTTTATTGATCCTCGGGGAGATACATATACAAAAGACTCTGTTACGGGTACTACGGTTGATTATTCAGATAATATGAGTAAAGTGTTTATAAATTTGTGACTGACATAGTTTGAAGTTTTTATAAATGAAACAGGAGATTTTGAGCAACTTTGTCACACTGGTTAAACCAACCTAAGTTTCCAGTGATTAGTAATAATGAGAGCACAAATATATTGTAAGACTTGAATTATACTAGGACATAAGCCTTTTTTATTCATGAAGCTAAAGATTATCCTTTCTTACATTATATAATAAAAATATTTATGAACTATGATGATACACTAAAATTAATATAATAATAAGTAAGGTAATTTATATGTCTGAATATTCTTATTAATTATAGATTTATATAAAGGAAAAACTATAGAAATTAGATTCCTAAGTTAGGGAACCAATATAAATTTGGGATGTTTTTAGTGAAAAATAAGTTAACACTAAATCAAAAAGTAAGATCAGTGTAGTGTACACAAAGAAACATAAAAATGGTGTTTGTGTTACCTTTTTGATGACTATGGGAGTTTCTTGGAATAAATTCAGATGTTATAAGAGATTTTTAATTAACAAGGTGAAAGCAATTAATTTTTTAACCTCATAATTCTATAAACATTACCTATAACATCAGCATTTTTGTTTATCTTATTTTTTTCTTCACAACTTAATAATTAAATGTCTAAAGGTATTAAAGTTTAGAATCAAGGGTTACACATAGGCTATTTTAGAATTTTGAGTTGGCCCTGCCTAAGTATCATATGGCTTTAACTTTACAATAAAGTTTGTTCGTTTAACAGTTAATAACAGAAAAAATTGCAGTTGAGCTATTAGGAGGCAATAAGAGGCAGAATATGAAGCCAAGATGTGCCCATTACTGGCATTACCCTAGTTACATCTCATGCACATCAATAATGAAGAAATGAACAAATAGACATAGGAAGGGTTTGTTAATATTCACGGAGGTGTAAGTTTATGTAAAAGATATGGTGAAAGTTTGGATTATCAGTAAAAATATATGCCTAGTCACTGCTTAACTGTTTATACTGTAAAGATTTCTCTCTCTGATATGATAAAAAGCATCTTTAATTTTTTTGCTTTTCCTGCAGCATCTAATTTAATGCTGTGTACACAATAGTCTTTTAAGAAATGTAAAAACATACTTAGTTGATTACTAAGATCTATAGGTATCATTCAATAGAGGAACACAATTTAAGATCTGAATAACTGGGGACTTCCCTGGTGGTCCAGTGGTTAAGAAGACTACACGGCTCCCAATGCAGGGGTCGCGGTTTCAACCCTGGTCGGAGGGAACTAGGATCCTGCATACCGCACGGTGTGGCCAAAAAAAAAAAAAATCTGAATAACTGGTAAAATTCTCTAGTCCTGTTCACAGGTCTATAGTTATCAGAGGATAACAACATTTTAAGAATTCAGCTTTACCTACGGGATTCTCTCAAACATCCTGGTAAAGGATTATTTGTAACATATGTTATTGTATTGCTATTTTAAATAATAGTTCCTAAGTGCTTAAAAAAAGAAAACCACCTAGAATAAAGTAAAATGACTTTATTATTATTATATAAAGAAAATTATATAGACAGAAAACATATAATGTACTCTGTTCTGGGAAGGCCTCTTTGATAAGTTAATATTTGACCTATGACTGAACAATAGATAAGAACCACTTGAATATTCAGTGGAAGAACAGCAACAGTAAAGACCCTTTGTTTAGAAATAATAAAAAGACAAAAATGACTGGAACATAGTACATAAAGTACAAATTGTATAAGGTAAAGTTGGAGAGGTTGGCAGAGGTCAGAGCATGTGGGTCTGATATGTCATTGGTGAGGAATTTGGACTTTATTACTATTGTAATGAGAAGCCACTGGATAGTGTTTATACAGATATAATCTGGTTTCTTTTTTGAATAGATCACTCCGGCTACTCTGTGGAGAATGCATAGGGAGTGTGCTGAGGAAAGCAAGAATGAAAGCAGGGAAAACAGGTTCTTTAAGTTATTATGCTTTAAGCTGTTACTTTATGTATACATGCATGCACACGTGCGTACACACATATATTTTTGGTTTGATATTTTGGCATAGTTTTCTTGCATTTCTTTTCTAATTACTCATGCTTGATATGGGCAGCCCTATCACGAACTTGCATTGCTCCAATGTAGGTGGGTTAATTTTCCTTTAGTTTCTTCTCACTTTATCTGATAATTGTTTTTATATTTCAAAGTACTTCAAATTGAAGAGTATTTTGTATGCTATTCATGTTCCTTTTTTCTGAGGATGAAGGTAGCTAGAAGAGGGAGAGCTGTACCCGGTTTCTCATATCCCTTTCCAAGTTTTATTGGAAGGCAGTGTACCTGATTTCACTCTATCTAGTCAAAGGTATATCCTTTTCCCATGAAAGATGCTCTTGGGTCTTGAGAGATTCTTAGAAGATTTCATTTGAATTATCTTCATTTATCCCATGGCTGCTACCTTCCACTCAATGCAGATCTTACTCACCTCTCTTCAGCAGCTTTTCTTACTCTCCTCCCAGGCCACAGAGCAAATATAAAAAAACCAGTGAGAGAGGTCATGACTTTTGGGCATTTTGGGTACCTCTTAACCTGAGCATTCACTCCCTTGGATGATCTTATCCTTACTATTCTCTTGGGTGTCCCCTTCTACCAAATCCTAGTACGTCTGGAGATAATGCTCTTGGTTATTTTCATTATTCTGCCTTTCTTTAGCTTTCCTCTCCAAGAGGAAAAATCAGAATAACAAGCCCTGGTTCTTCTTGGTCCTTCTGGTAAGAGGAATACCTGGCAGGGAAGAACTTGACTCTTGAGGGATATTCCAGGTCTTTCCCCTGAGTTATTCCCTCAGTTCCCATCTCTCCAGATAGGAGAAAATTAGGTCGAGCTTTTAGAATTTTAATTAATCCCCTTCCCTACTCTTCCCGCCACTGTGTTCAGAAGGGAACAGAGTTCGCAGCCATGCCCAATCCTGGAATCTGTCACCTCTCTCTCTTTCCCTGCCTGTCATTTTTCAGAGATTGTGGTTATAAATCCATGTGTAGATTCCCTTGTTGTGTTAGGTGTAGAGGGTGTCAGTGGCCCTGGATAATTAACAAGTAAGGAAAAAAACACCTACATAGTAATAAATAACTTATTGTGATAAGTAAGTAGGCCCTATGTGGTGCCAGGCACCGTTCCAAGAACTTTACACATACGCTCATATAGACACACACCCATTTAATCATAACTACAAACCCTATGAAATAGGAATTAGTATCATCTCCATTTTACAGATGAAAAAACTGAATCGCAGAGAGGTTAAATAACTTGCCCAAGGTCATATAGCTGGAATGTACTGAAATTAAAATTCAAATCCTGATCATTTGGTTACAATGTCCAAGTTCCTAAACAATACACATACTGTGCCTTCATATCAGAAATCTGTAATGAGAGTTTAAGCCACAGCTGAGGCTAAAAAACTAAAATATAGGGCACTCAACTTCTAGACCAAATAGTCTCATTTTCATTAATTATTATTTATTAAATGCTTATCCCACTTGATAATCTTATAATCCTACCAGAATCATTATCTCAATTTTAAAGAAGAAATAACCTGACGAGCTTAAAGCAAGTTGGTTTAGAGCCAGCATAGGTATCTGAGTCTCTGAAACTCCAAAGCCCTGGTTATAATGGCCATACCTCTATTCAACTGTTTTAATTCAGAATGCATTCCTTTGTAACATTTTTTAACCTTTAAGTGATTTCTATTAACATCCATATAAATTCATTTTGACTTATTGCAATAATTTTCTTATTCTGAAGTATATGGTAAAAGTCTATTTCAAAGATAGTACTTAGGCCTAATTTTACACATAGAATGCTAAAGAGTGATTTTGAGGGCAGAAGTCCACGGTTGAACTGACTGATGTTTGAATTAGGACACATAGGACTTGTCTAGGCATGCTGTAATTTTGTGAAACTCTGGTCACAGTAAGAAGAATTCATTTTATCCAAATGAATGCCATTCACTATATTTTAAAAAGGTAATTAAAATCTTAGCCAAGAAAATTAACTCATACATTGGAATCCATCCTATGGATCCTTTTATGTTCTAACACTTGGTTACTATCTCTAACCTTTAGTTTGCTTATGAGAGTCGGTAAATCATGACAATCCCTACTCCAAAAAAATCTATACTTAGAAGAGCCAATGTTTTAAGAAAAAATATTAATTTATGACAAGATAATATTTTTCCAGAAACATACACTTACTTCTGCTTTTTTACGCGCTTCCATAGCTTTCATAAGCATCATATGTTGTCTCCTTCTCTCTCGTTCCTATTAGGCCAGATAAAATTAGGAATATAACTCAACCATAGTTAATAGTTTGATTTTCAAATGGAAAAACAAAACAAAACAGAACAAAAAAACTCGGTATAGCATGTTTAGCATTTATAGACAAGTCACAGTAAATACTAAATATAAGACAAGAATGGCCAGTCTGTGCATGTTTTAGTTCAGGTTTAGAAAGCAAATACAAGAACAATCAAAAGCAAAAAGGTAAAGCAATGAACATGGAGACAGTGTAAACAGAAGCATACAAGGTTTACTTATGGTCAGTTGTGATGCTCCTTCAAAAGCTGGCAGAACAAAAAGCATAATGGTTGGCTGGAACAGGTCAGTTACCTTACATCTGCTATTAGAAAAACCACAAATATGTACTACAGCCAATTAAACCAAAGGTTGTGCTGTTCTTAAATTTTTAGATCAGGTAGAAATTGATTTATATTCACTTTCACTTCATGGTTTTAGAATTAGTTATTTTTATTTCAAGTACACTATCATTTTGTAAATCCAATAAGCCACCGACAAATTAGAAAGTTTTTTTCAAGCTGTTATAGGCATGATTCATATAACAACATCAATGAAATGGGATATTCCTGTTTACTGATGTCTGCCACTTGATGCACTATTTAAAGCCACAAAAGCTGCACCATGGGCTTGTAAGTGGAATCTAAAAGGCACAGTATGAAAATAAGGTAAGCATTAGCTTACTTCGATAGTCTCATTTTACTTTAAAATAAAAAGTCACATAGCTATAGTACTGAATCATTCTTTTTGATTAAATATACGTGGTTCCCCCAAAGGGATATTTCTAAAAATTTCTAAAATTTGTCCATAAAACCAGAATATATTTCATATTCTCTCATCAACCTAACTCAAAATTCCCATTGTATTCAATGGCAGTTTTGCATCTAGAATGATGGGAGAATATGGGTCATAGTCGTATCTAATTGGATAGTGATCCAACTTTCACTGTGACATCAGTAACGTAAACTTTTAGACAGCAGCCTTATGTAAGGCCTGCCCAATTCAATTGAAAATCTTGGAAATGTACCATATTTCTTTATAGACAGACAAGCAGATGTATGCAATGCACTGTGCTGTAAAGCCATGCAGCAGTATGTAATATGACAGCAGCCAGTGCTACACTTTATGCATTGCTATGACAACCATATCACAACCAAATCACAATGCGGTGTTAGATGTACAGAAATAAACATACCCATACCATATCTAGTCTATGCCTCTCCAACTCCTGGTAGAAAGAGTTGGCACAACATTATGAAACAGAAATCACAGAGTCATGAAACCAATTTTTAACCCCCCGAAAGACACCAATCCCAAAACCAGGAATTTAAGCAGGAATTATACTGGAACTTTTAAAGAAAATATCTTGAAGATTTTTCCAAAAATAGATTTAAGAAAAATTATGAAATGTACATTTCGACAACTGTATAACTATGTGTCTACAGACCTGATGCTTTAGAAGAACAGCTTGTTGTCTTCTCATTTCTTTTTCCTTAAAAATAAGAAACTTTTAAGATGGATTTTTAGGGAAAATTTAGAACACGCAACAAGTATTAAAAGTTCCTTTTCTGAGATTCTATAGTCTTCCGTTAGGTTGAACCATATGAAACTGCAAACATCCAATAATTTTTTACTTATATATTGGCAACTTCATATGGTTCTACCTAATATATAAAAACTGTAGGACAGGAGCAAGGATCCTTATTCAGTAGACATTTAGAGTTAAAATTCAGTGACCTAATAGTAAACACAATTCAATGACCCATTCACTGAACTGACTAGCTAGATAGAGCATATCAGATACAACTAGCACTAAAAAAAAAAAAAAGAAAGAAAACATAATGAAGCAACCCTCAAATCTAGCTAATTAAAACTCTCTCCACTCTGAATATAAATCCCTAAATACACTCTGGGATTAACAGCATCTATATCATTTCCATCACTGTGTAGGAATGAAAGTGACAAGAGAAAAGGAATCAGCTCAAGATTTTTATGCCCACCTATGATTGAGGGCACCATCCCAAAGGGGTAGGGCTTAATACAAACAGTTCTGGGAATGTCACCAATTTGAATCTTTTTATAAAGATAAAATACGGATTAATTAATATTAAGGGCAGCCATTTTGAAAAGGAGTAGAAATTTAAAGAACAAAGTAAGAGAGTCTATGTAGAAAAAGGTAACAAACAGTTCCCTGGTTTTATAAGATATAGCTGTAGTGGCTGTTTCTTGAACTGCCCAATTTCAGTAAATAACTATCAGAAAAAATGGAAGGTAGGGGTGTAATGTGTGTCGGGGTGGAGGCTGGAGGGGGAGTGAGGGTCCAACTCTCTTATATTTCACGCCAGAAAATCAAAACCAAAACATCCCCAAACAACACATCAAGTTACAATATATAACAATGGCTAATTTTATTATTGGCGAATTATAGCTGATAAAGTTAGGTTTTTGTTTCTGTAGGCTTTTCACTTTTTAATAGTTAAAACAGTTATTAGACATTAACAAAGAGAACGTTAAAATCTAAGGAGAGAATCGGATTTGGAACACAATTTGAAACTTAAACATAAATGATACAAAATAGCTCTGGGGAGATCTTATCCATCAAAACTATATACAGGTATTATGCAATAGTTTGCATTTCTGATTTGGTCTGCTATTTAAAGAGCTCAAAGTATCACATATAACCTGCATAACGAAATATAAAAAAATACATACAATATACATACAATAAAAACACACACTATACACATGTTTTATCTGTGCTAAACATTTTTTTAGATAGTCATTTTGAGGAGGGCTTTTTTTTAATATAATTGATACTGGTATAATATCATACAGCTTTTATTTTTGAAAAATGAAAACTGATTCTCATCTAAACTAACCTTTATTCGTTTCTCGGCCTCCAATAATTTGGCATTTGCTGCTTCTTCCTTCTTTTTCTTTTTTGCCTGTGCATGCAAAACAGGTCTCAAAGTCATGCAACAGCACCACTGCAACTTGAAAGTAACCTATGACTTGAAAATGGAGCTACATGCCTCACAGGTACAAAACAACATGGAACATATATGTAAACAATTACAGATTTTCCCACAGTTAATATTGTATTTAACATACTAATTTCATTTCTAATGTATAAATTAGCATTAAGATATAAAAAATTCTTAAATTCATAAGAGTATGTCAGCTTTTCTTGACTTCTTCAAACTCTATATTAAAAGTCTGAAATAATTGAGTGTTTATTATTTTACATTAAAACTTAATCACAGAAAAATTATTTTATATAATTTTTCCTTTTTTTCCTGATTTTTAAAAGTAAAACATGATCATAAAAAATTTAGAAGATGGGATAGATTTTGAGTGATAATAAAAGTTACTTAAATAATAAATCAGTAGCACATTTAAAAATGAACATGTCTATTTGGATTTTTTTAATATTTGAAATTTTAGATAAAGTAATCCATTACTCAGCTGATATAAATGAAACACATTAAATCTGATTTTCTCTAGCTGTATATTGTGATTAAATTCAAGGTTTTTTAAAAAGATAGAACAGAAACTTCTAATCTTTCATGAAGTACATTTTGAATATCAAGGTCATGATACCAAATCTGAGCGTCATAATGTTAAAGTCATTAATTATCTAGTAGTTTGATAACTATCCAGTAGCTATTGTCAATTTACTTGAAGGTAGGAGTACTTTTGATCTGGATTTTTAAAATTAATTTGAAATGGATAAGTAAACATGTGTATATTTCTAGAAGGAATAATCATGTAACATAGAACACTTCAGCTATTTGACACCCTCAGGGAATAAATCGTTTATACCAAGAGTTTCCTGAATAGCTGGGAGGTTATAGCAATTTTGAACATTAAAAGTTTATTTTCACTATTTTGGATGGAAATAATTTTGAGATATATACTGCTTAGACACACTACACTAAATATAATTTGGCTTTTTCTTGATGACTTGGGGCAATTATTCTGAACATCAGTTATTATACTGTACAGTTCCACAGAGTAATGCCTTTCAGCTGCTAAGGTGTTGAAAATTGCTTGCTATTCAACTAAAAGATTACAGGCTCTTGGTAGGCTTTTGAATCCCTATACATGCTGGTTGGAGTTTTTCTGTATTTTCCCTTGCTATCTTGTGGCTATCATTTTACTGATTCCAATATATGTCCTCTAGTCCTATTCCATCAGCTTGTGGGGAAGCAGAGTATATTAGAAGCCAGAAAAACAAGCTGATTAAACTGTTTCTACGTTTAAAATTTACTTTCACTCTTGTAATGTTTTATTTCTAAATTAAAAGTAAATATCTGACTATAAGTCCTAATGAGTTTTCTAAAAGTAAAGAACACGAGTTTCAGCACATGAACCTTATGACACCTATACTGGCTGTTCAGAAGTTTCCCTGTTTTCTTCTTCTCTTTTGTCTTATTTCCTGGATTGTTAGGATTAGATGAGTCTGCTAAATAAGGATCAGATAAGGTCTTACTCTATGCATTATGCTTAAAGAGAGTTTCTGATGGACATATTAATTTGTATAAGTGACAGAATACGTAGGTAAGATTTTTATTTTTGGAGACTTTAAAATATATGACTATATTACTTTAATCATATCACATTTAAGAATTCTACCTCTAGAATTTGCTGGGCTCGAAGCTCTTTTTCCATTCTGATTTGTTGTATTCTCTTAATTTTTTCCTGTAGAAAAAATTATAATAATTTAAGATAATAAAATAAACTAAATATCTAGGTGAAAAGTATTTAAGTCAAATCAAATAAGTTAAGATATAAATACAGAGTTACCAAAGGTTGTCCATGGTGGATGTAAAACTTGTTTAGTTTAACATCATATATAAGTTCATGTCAAATTAATATGACTTTATAAAATTTCTCAAAACAATTTGTAAAATACAAATGCTAAATGTGAATAAACTACATAAACTAAACTCATTTAGCCTGTGAATTTTTATAAGTATCTGCAGTTACAATTATACTTAGTTTTAAATAAAAACAGCACAGAAAAGTAGAAAAATCGTGTATCAGGAGTGAGAAAACCTAAGGCTAGTCCTGAGTTACTGTCATTCATATGATGATCTTGAGCAAAGAATAACTACTCTTGTATAAAATAGGGAGAGGTGTTTGCCCTCTCTCACTATGTCATGAATAAATTAAAAATGCTTAAAAAAGTGGCAGGGGCTTCCCTGGTGGCACAGTGGTTAAGAATCCGCCTGCCAATGCAGGGGACCCGGGTTCGAGCCCTGGTCTGGGAAGACCCCCACATGCCGCAGAGCAGCTAAGCCCGTGTGCCATAACTACTGAGCCTGCGCTCTGGAGTCCGCGAGCCACAACTACTGAGGCCTGTGTGCCTAGAGCCCGTGCTCCGCAATGAGAGAAGCCACTGCAATGAGAAGCCCACGCACTGCAACGGAAAGTAGCCCCCGCTCACCGCAACTAGGGAAAGCTCGCGGGCAGCAACGAAGACCCACCGCAGCCAAAATAAATAAATAAATTTATAATAAAAAAAAGTGTGTGGTGCCACACAACTGTAATCGATTATCATTAACAATTTCCATACTACAATTTCTTACTTCACATGATGAATAACATGATAATATTACATTGCTTTTTTTTTTTTCTTTTTTTGCGGTACGCGGGCCTCTCACCGTTGTGGCCTCTACCGTTGCGGAGCACAGGCTCCGGACGCGCAGGCTCAGCGGCCATGGCTCAGGGGCCCAGCCGCTCCGCGGCATGTGGGATCTTCCCAGACCGGGGCACGAACCCGTGTCCCTTGCATCGGCAGGTGGACTCTCAACCACTGTGCCACCAGGGAAGCCCTACATTGCTTTTAACTACTACAATAAGCCAAATTCAGAAATAATCTGTAATATTATTTTAAAAAGGCTTAATTACAATTGAACATTCTAGAGAATGATTCCAATGGCATAATTGGTGTTCACATTGTCTAAATTTAATGTACTAGTTATTGTTTTAGAATTCAGTGATTAAAGTTTGATAAAACTTTACATTTTGATTTAAAAACATTAACTCATATGCTATCAGCACAATGTTAACAATTTCATGTTCAGAAACCCCTTTGAAAGTCCCAAACTGGTACTCAATAATAATACATCGTTTGCCCCCAAACACCCCAATTTTCCTACTAGCAAATTGCATTTGCCGTAGGATTTCCAGAGCGAACACATTTTATACTGCTCAATGTTATAATACCTGTTCCAATTTCCAGATGCTAGCTGTACCTTTGCAAGCTATACTTTAACGTTTTTAAACATTTCTTTTTATGTACACTGATGTTATTGATCTCAATATATACATACATAGACATACATAGACATGTATATACACACACACATATATATGGTAGTGGTGTCATTAACATTAGTAGAGATAAACATTATTTATAAGTTATTATAATACAGATTCACTTTATAATATTGGGTATCCAACCCCTCAACTGGGCACTCTACACAAAATATCTTATTGATCATGAAAAGAGTTGAAATTATCTTCTTTTTACCAAATAGAAAGCTAAAGTTCCTAGAGAGTAAATATTTGGCCTTAAATCAAATAGTAAATACAGAGCCTTGGTCACATTCCAATGCTTTTGTTCCTTCTGCTTCATAATAATGCTTCTGTAAGCTTCCAGAATATTGTCTTGAGGACTATATGGTGATACTGGCCTACTAGGTGGAAAAAATAATCCAGAAGCACATGCTACTATTTTATTCTAGATCTAAAGCTGACTTTAAAATAGGCATTATGTAACTGACTATGTGAGTAGACCTAAGCCATACTTTGATTCACTTTGTTGGCAATAAGGAATAAGTCAGATTGTATTCTGAAACTAGCCTCAGATAAATATCTTGACAAAACTCTATGATCAGCTCATTCGTATTAACGTTGCTGAAACGTTGGTACTCCAATGCTTTTTTTTTTATAACATCTTTATTGGAGTATAATTGCTTTACAATTGTGTGCTAGTTTCTGCTTTATAACAAAGTGTATCAGCTATACATATACATATATCCCCATATCTCCTCCCTCTTGCGTCTCCCTCCCACACTCCCTATCCCACCCCTCTAGGTGGTCATAAAGCACAGAGCTGATCTCCTTGTGCTATGCAGCTGATTTTTTGATGAGCGGCAAAAACCATGTATATTTAGGTTGTAGCCACTTCAAGACTTTAGGGTCACAAAGCTGAATTTAAAGTGCTGATAAGATTTGATGGACCTCTAGCCATTAGGAAATAGGATGAGCTATAAAAAGGTATAATATTTAGAAACAATAGTATTTCACTTTAAAATGAAACATAAACTTATTTTTATATATATGTGATATACAGTAAATATTTATATTTTAATAAAGGCATTCATTAGACTAGATATTTATAAGTCAATCTTACAGTGTCTTTAGCAGTGACAATTAACAAACTATTTGGAATTAACAAACTAAAGGAATTCAAGTTTACTGCTGACTACTTTAAATTACGGTAAAAGAGTTTACTATGCAGTTTGGTGTTTTATATCATCTTTTAAAAAGTGAGCATTTGCTTTGTGCCAGGCACTGTTGCATGTACTTTACATTTATCACCTCATTTAATCTTCAGATAATGCAGTTATTTTCTTTCACAGTGGAGGAAACAGAGACTTAGAGGTTAAGAAATTCATCTAAGGTTACAAAATTCTTACGTAGCAGAGCCCATATTCAACTCTTACAGTCTGCCTGACTGTAAACTAAATTCTGAATCCCAATTCCATATCAACTCTTTCTAATCATACTACTTTAGTCAATACTGGAAAGAACCTTCGAGACAGCCACATCAAATCCAATCCAAGCCATTTATTTAGCAGCTATTTATATAATAACACAATTGGCTTCATTTCATACTCAGAAATAACTACTTGCCATTGAAAATTTTTTAAAGAATATTAGTTATCCCCATTTCCTTTCTGCTTTAACGATTATAGTGAATATATGGAGATGGGAGAGTAGTGTACACATTCCCATCTTCAATAAAGTTGAATATCTTGTCATATAATACTTTACCTGTAAGAATTTTAAAACTACTTTATTTACCTACACTTAATTTTGAAAACTACACACAGGAGAGGTATTGTAGATATACAACAGAATGCTGCTGAAATGATGCTTTTTTCATTTTTTGCACTGTAGTTGGCTCTCCTTATCTGCAGGTTCTGTATCCATGGACTCTACCAACTATGGATCAAAGACAAACTAGGAAAAAAATTTTTCAGGAAGTTCCTAAAAGCAAAACTTGAATTTGCCCCATGCTGGCAACTATTTACATAGCCTTCACATTGTATTAGGTATTACAAATAATCAAGAGATGATTTAAAGTATACAGGAAGATGTGCATAGGTTATATGCAAATACTACACCATTTTGCATAAGGGACTTGCATCTGTGGATTTTGGTATCCATGGGGGTCCTGGAACCGATCCCTTGTGGATACTGAGAGATGACTGCAGTAATTTTTTAGTAACTCTGAAAGCAATCACAAGCAATGGAGGCAAACCTTATTCTATATAACTTGAATTTAATTTTTTACTAGTATTTTACATGTTTTAGGACAACAACTTTTCTTATTAAAATTTGAATATTTAAGGAATATCCTTCATTTACTAATACATTAATTTAAAAAGTGTGAAAGTTATTCATGATGTCAACTTATATTCAAAGTCTATCAGGATATTAAAAGTACTTATACAATTTACTGTTTGGTAATCAATTTTTTTTTTTTTTTTGCAGTACGCGGGCCTCTCACTGTTGTGGCCTCTCCCGTTGCGGAGCACAGGCTCCGGTGGTAGTCAATTCTTAGAAAAACTTGGAAGTAGAAGACTTCGCTTTAAAATGAGGTGAATTTAGGGACTTCCCTGGTGGCCCAGTGGTTAAGAATCCACCTGCCAATGCAGGGGACACAGGTTTGAGCCCTGGTCCGGGAACTTCCCACATGCCACGGAACAACCAAGCCTGTGCACCACAACTACTGAGCCCGTGCTCTAGAGCCCACGGGCCACAACTACTGGAGCCCATGCTCTGCAACAAGAGAAGCCACCGCAGTGAGAAGCCCGCGCACCGCAGTGAAGAATAGCCCCCGCTCGCTGCAGCTAGAGAAAGCCTGTGTGCAGCAAGGAAGATCCAATGCAGCCAAAAATAAATAAATAAATAAAAAATAAAATAAAATAAAATGAGGTGAATTTTAACTAATGAAAGAGGACAATTTTCTAAATAAGATACATAACATTAATGTGAAATACAGTTATTTCAGAAATCAAAATGAAAATAATGTACACATAGAAAGATACAAATCCCAAAACAATGCCTGTGTTTTAAAAATCAGTTCCAATGAATAAACATACCTGTTGTTTCATAATCTTTATCTGTTCTTTTTGCTTTCGCTTCTCCTCAGCAGCCATTATTGCTATGATGAAAAATCAAGGCACAGATATCATCAGAAAAGGAACAAAGAAGAGATGCCTCTTATGAATTACCCAGTACTCACTCTTCAAGTTTAGGCTACCGTTTAAATCACCCACCTCGTTGTTTTTTAGCTTCTTTGGCAACCCGAGCCTGTTCCTGCTTTTGCAGTTTTCTCAAAAGCTTTATTTGTGCTGCTTGCCTGGCTATTTCTGAAAAATACAAAATTTCAAGGAATGTTATTAACAACTTTACATAACTGCTAACCTAAAAACAATACCTGTGAAACTGGTATCATCATGAAGGACATAATTTTTAAGAAAATTGCCAAACATTAAATACCAAGTAGGAGAACCTCAGAAAATGTCATGTTCATTTCCCCTAGAAATTGCCAAACTATTTCATCGAATATGATCCCATATACATAAGAAAAATGATGCCGCTCTTAATCCTCATCACAAAGGCTAATATAAGTACATTTTTTTTCACATTTCATGTAATCCTCACTTAGTATGAAAGTATCTGCTAATATGTAAAAAAAAGTGATGCAGCTTCAGTCTTAAAAATAACAAAATACATAAAAAAAGAAAGAGAACCCAAAATAGAACAAAGCCCCCAAACTTAGCATTTCAGTCCGCTATATAAATGGTAAAATTTTTGAATCCATTGATATTTTCATTTATGAAGGAAAGCGACTAAATCTCCTAAATAAAGAGTACAGAATGTCAATGAGTTTTACGGACAACCTAGTTCTCATACTTTTTAAGGACAAATGTATGAAACTGGGATAGACTGACATAATTAATGGTCCCAAGTCTTCATTCCTTGACTATCCATGCCATTTGTAATGTGACTTTGCGGTCCCTTCTCATCAACACATGCGTGGAATATATCTTCTTGTTCCTTGATTTTGAGTTCACCCATGGGATTTTCTTTGGCCAATGGGATGTAAACAGTGTGATGCAAGTAGAAGTCTGAAAGTGTACCTGTACTCTCTACTCTTTTTACTCTTGTGCCTTGCCCTTTACTATGAGGACAAGTTCGGGCTAGGCTGCCTGAGGCTGGGACACATGGAGGCAGCTGACTCCACTAATGTGAAAAAGCCCAGCCAAGATCAGCAGAGATGCCTAACTGCCTAACTTGCCACCAGCTCATTCCATCCGCACAAACAGTTAATGCTTAGACTTGTACACCACTGAGGTTTTGTGGTTGGCCTTAATGTGGCAATAGGTAGCTGATACAGAAAAGCATGTAACGTTACACTTTTCTTCTGCTGGCAAACTTGATCAAAATACTTCTAACTATAAAAGTGGTGGATCATTCATAAAATCATTTTAGAAAATACCACTTTACATTAGACATTGTTTTCAACTTGGTAGCAGGTGAAGAATTTTAAGAAACTTATATTCACTAATAATGAATATGATTAGGTAATGACGTGATTACCTAATCAAGTGATTGATTCAGGTAATCGTGTGATTCAGGTAATCACACGATTACCTGAATCACTTGAGCTCTACTCATAACTTCCACCATTTATTGAACTGTTGTATTACATTTACATGATCTTGTTTAATTTTCATAACAACCTTATGAGAGGCAACATTATGCCCAGCTTACAAATGAAATAAACTATGGCTCCCAGAAGTTAAAGACCAGAGCTAAGATACACACCCAGGACTTTCTGACTTCACAGTCTATATGTTACTACTTCTAAAACCCTTAGAGAAATTTAAATGCCTTGAGATTTTAGAAAGAAACTTAACCCTATGTCCTTGTAACTGCTGAGGTGCAGTTGGTTACTACAGTTGATTTCCTATCATGAAGACTTAAAAAAAGGGGAGGGGATATAAGAAGGTTTGATTTTATCTAGGAAACTTGAAGTGTTAATAAAAGATGAAACAGAAGCTGATACTAAAGTATACCTCCAATCTTCCAATAATTTTCAGTATCAAGAAGTTTTAAGCATCATCAAAAATTTCTGAGCCGCATAAAAAGGATTCTCCTGCTCACAAAATACTCTGGGAAATAAAAATGTATCAACTGGCCTGCAGAGTTAGCAAGCTCTGATAATAATACACCTGTAGGACACCTGTTCTCATCTATGATAGATCCAGGTAAACATTATTTTTTAACATATAAGAATTGAAGGCTTTCACTGAACTCTGATATAAAGACCTAAATCTGCCTTAAAATGTAAAGGGTTGCTAAGTGGTTAAAAAAAAAATTTCCTAGAAAAGGTGGCACAAGTATGATGCTTTGTTCCAAGCTAAACTGATGCTTTCTAAAAGAAGTTTGGCTTATAATAAAGAAATTTTTATCACATATATTGGCATATTTTTGTATACGAATGTATCAGTCAATTTCAAACTCCACACAAGTTCACAGTAATTTTCATGTTTAAACTCCTGGAAAAGAAAAACATTAAAAAGCTCAACTCATATCTTTTCACTTTAGCAAGGAAGATACAATTTGGATTAATCACTTAAATTTTATATAGCTTAACTTTCATGTTACGAACAGTTGGAGAAAACATGAAAAAAAATGTTAAAAGAAATTAGAGACACTATGGAGGAAGGAGAATGAGTTAGGGACCAAGAAAATTCACTCAGGCTCTGAGGAATAAACTGCTCCCAATATCTTCTCATTTATTTTGTTTATGGTTGCTGAATATATTATTATTATTATTATTTTAAGATGTTGGGGGTAGGAGTTTATTAATTTATTTATTTTTGCTGTGTTGGGTCTTCGTTTCTGTGTGAGGGCTTTCTCTAGTTGTGGCAAGCGGGGGCCACTCTTCATCGCGGTGCGCGGGCCTCTCACTATCGCGGCCTCTCTTGCTGTGGAGCACAGGCTCCAGACGCGCAGGCTCAGTAGTTGTGGCTCACAGGCTCAGGTGCCCCGCGGCATGTGGGATCTTCCCACACCAGGGCTCGAACCCGTGTCCGCTGCATTAGCAGGCAGATTCTCAACCACTGCATCATCAGGGAAGCCCTGAATATATTATTATTGTAATGAGCATTTGAAATATTAATTTGAAAACTATCTTTCATGGTTGAAGAATGTGTCTCTTTAAATTTCAAAGGTAAAAATTTATTTTGAAATAAAGTTTATTTTCACTTAGAATTAGGGATATTTTACATATACCACACTTCTTTGATTCTAAAATGCATTTTTACACATGTCTAAAATCAGAGTGTGTGTAAAAATTGGCAGCTCTTTTCTTCCTTAGTGGAACATCTTAAAATACTGGGGCATTGCACAGACTAGGGCATCTCAGATTCTACAATGTATGAAATGGACAAGTGTTACTCGGTATCTCAGAAAATCTGAGATATGAATGGTATTGGCCAATTAAGAAGCAGGTTTATTTAGATAGGTTAAAAGATTTTTTCATATTCAAACTCTGCCAGATTCTTATTTGTATTCCCTGAGAAATTAGAGACCTCTCATTTCACAATGCTTGAAAGTACATTCAAAGTTTGCATTTATTTTACTGTTCTGAATCTTTCTTCAAATTAAGTCCAGTTGTTCAGCCTAGTTGAGTCCTTGTATGATGATAATATATAACAGAAACTTATAGAATCCCCTTGGATAACCCCCTCAAACTGTTAATGTAGAAGCCTTTTAGAAATAAAAGGGGTGATAGTGATTCATTGCTATTTTCTTTTCTTCCCAAGGAAAAAAAATGCATATTATACCACATTTGCTTGTACATATTAATAATTATTATTTATCTAATGTTAAATATTTAACATTTATATACATGCGAGAAAGAACATATATACACAGTAAGGTCAAATGTAAAATAATTTGCAAAATGCAACATAATACAACAAGGGAAAAGTATGTAACGGAATACAAACCAATTTGAAATCTAGAGGGAGAAAAAACATTGAGTAAAAGTTGAATAATCAACTTCTATTTTGTAAAAATTTACTTTTTCAAATATAAAGTTGCCATTTTGGATACTAAGTATTAATGCTATTTGTATAAGATATGCAAAACATGCATGAAGAGCCCAGACTTTGGACATCAGTTAATTTCAAGCTTTCTTATTTTACGCAAACAATGCACATTCCCCACGATTATACATTCTTTAGAAGAGCCAGTGGTTTATTGACAATACTAACTTTAAAAACTCATCATATATGGCTGTATCTGTTAATATATTAACTTATTTTTAACCTTCACTCATAACTATTCAAGGGAGATAAACATCTTAATAGAAACCAAACAGAATAACTTTTAAAGATATTTTAAAAACATACTAAGACAGAGAAAAACTTATACAACATTAAGTTACATACCAGGCAGTTAACTTACATGCCACTGGTGGAAGTATGGACCGGTGCCATCTTTTTGGAGATAATATTTGCCTGCTATTTACCAAAATTGAAAACGCACACACCCTTTGATTCAGAGATTCTATCTCTAGGATTTTATACTATAGATAGCCACACCTGTAGAAGGATGTGAAGATATGTGTAATATGTACTACTGCAGCACTGTTTGTGACAGCGAATGTCAGGAATAGCTAGAACAGTCACCAAAAGGAGACTAATTTAATGAAGTTTGGTAGAATCATACACAGTATCACTCACTATTCAGCCATTAAAAGCATAAGGTTGATTTTCAAGTGCTGATACAGAAAGATGTTCAAGATAAATTAAGTGGAAAAAAAGGCAAGCTGAATAGTATGTACACTATAAGCCATTTATTTTAGAAATCAAAAAGGATATATATGTAATACAACATATTGTATATGCATATGTATATATATGAGTGTTTGAAGGCATGTGTGTATAGGAGTTTATGTACAGTTTATGTATACGAGTCTCTGATAGCCTAACAAAAAACTGTTAATAATGATTCCACTCACGAATATCTTTTACAGAAAGTTTTCTGTTCTATGAGCTTTTGTCATAGATATTTGTTTCATAACAAAAACAAAGGAGCTACAAAGAAGTCAACATTATGATGTTGTTTACAATAAACAAATAAGTCAGGCTTTTCCCCCAGAGAGAACCTATGAGAAGTAAAATCCTGTTAGTCTTCTAAGTTAGTTCTTATTGTTGAACTTTTATTTTACATTGATATATATGTTTATATATATGCTTGTGAGTATAAGACACCAACACATATACTTATATATATTCAGATAGCCTTCACAAGAAGCCCTTCACAAGAAGAGTCTTCCCAGTTGTAACTAGTAACTCAAACTCAGGGCAGGACTGTTTTATTTATGCCAGCTTTTTCTGTGTCAGACATAGCCTGGGAACTTAATGTTAACAATTTATGTACATTTTTTTTTTTTTTTTTTGTGGTACGCAGGCCTCTCACTGTTGTGGCCTCTCCCGTTGCGGAGCACAGGCTCCAGACACGCAGGCTCAGCGGCCATGGCTCACGGGCCTAGCCGCTCTGCGGCATGTGGGATCTTTCCGGACCAGGGCACGAACCCATGTCCCCTGCATCGGCAGGCAGACTCTCAACCACTGTGCCACCAGGGAAGCGCTATGTACACTTTTGAGTCATAAATACATTTGAGGTTATTATGAGCACTTTGTGCTTGACAGTGGTACTTTCTGATGGTCTTAAAATAAATATTTGTGAATTAAATCTATTACTTGGGCATTTTGAAAATATCTGTAATATGTGCATACTACAGAAGAACCCAAAGACTGGGGTTACTTACCAGTAATTGGAGTTCTCTGACTGAAAATTTACTCCACAGATCCACATATTTTGGAGTTATCCCCTTGTACCACCTCAAGGAATCGGGAGCTGTTAAAATGAGAATTTCCAGAAGGTTGGCACAACCTTAAGGCATGTGCCGAGTGCTGGTAGATGCCCTTTCAGTGCAAGCCTTAAAAGCTTATCACCCACCTTTGTAGTTCTCAATACACAGGGTCTGCTGTGTTTATGAATATGGCTCTTGAAAGGAGCTTACCTAATCAAAGAACTCCAGTTACCAGTGGGACTCCTTATTTTCTCATTTTTATTCTAACACAAATGTCTACTTTTTAGAAATTGAGAGCAGTGTTAATCTTTCATCAGTCAAAAATATAAGAAATATTTACACTTTTTAATATGACTATTACAGTGTCAGATACGTTCTGTTTCTTACCTTGAGCTTGCAGTTTTCTTAGTAACTTGGCATCTGTGTTATCTAGAAATTCAGCACTGCCAACATTTGGAGGCCGGCCCTTCCGACATCTCATCCTGGATTCCTCTCTTGCTCGCTGTCTATCTGGATTTGGTGGTCTTCCTCTACGACATTCCATTGCCCTGATACGGGGAATGACATCCTCTTCTTTCAAAAGACACCACTGCATTCCCTTTTAATTAACATTTTATAGAAATAAAGATTACAAATGAAATAAACACAAGTGATCAATATGTCAGAAAATTCTAGGCAAATTCACAGATATTTGGTAAATATATAAGGCTGGTACAAACTTTAGGAATTTTATTTTTTTAATTAAATTTATATTTATAATTATTCATGGACTTGGCATCGTTTTGATATTCTTAATGAATTCAACTTTAAACACAAAGAGATTTATATCTGTATCTATAAACATATAAATAGAGATATATTTTTAAATAACCATTTCTGAACTACAATGACCATAAAGTTGGCAGATATTTGAAAATTAGTTGTGTGATGACACCTCTGTGGATTGTTCTCATGGGTTAACAGTTAAACCAAACGTTAAACTATCCAAATAATAGATGAAAGTTCTCTTTATAGAAATATTAGAGCTAATAAATCAAGACGGAATGTAAGAGTTAGAATATCAGCATCTTGCAATACCTGATGAATTAATGAGTCTAAGCACTGAACTTGAATGGTTGCCAATCACCAAAAAGAGAGACAACCAGACAGACATTAGCCTCCTGATGGAGGTTCACTCGATCACCTATAAATTAGTCTTGTCCCCTACAAAATGAAATCAAATCTAGATTAGACTTAATTACTATAACTTCACAGGAAAAACTGGGTGAGAAGTGTATGGTTAACTACACAGCAAAATCCAGTCGAGGAAATACTACAAATTTCTTCAACAGTTTCTTCAACAAATAAATTTCAAGAGGTAAAAAAACCTGTGGGACGATTAAAGGAGCCTTAAAAGATGTACCAAACAATCCCAAAGTGTGGAGCTTACCTAGATATTGATTCAAATAGACGAACTGTTCAGAAACTTTTGACAGTTAAGGGAAATTGAAAATTTGAACAATGACTATTATTTGATGATATCAAGGAATTATTACTTTAAAGTGTCATAATGGTACCATGGTACTCTTGTAGACAACAAGAGTCCTTATCTTTTAGAGATATGAATGAAACATTTATAGAGGAAATAACATGTATATTATTTGCTTCAACAAATTATGGAAGAGGAGAAGTGGATGGGGGTATATGTAAAATAATATTGGCCACATGATAATTTCTACAGCCAATGATGAATATATGGTGTATAATTGAGATTTCCCATTATAAGTCTCCTGATGGAAACACATTCACCAGCATGATGCTAGTGTATTATAGGAATAATCCTGTTCAGTGTATAGATACCATCAGTGTCTGGTTTTCATTATCCTTCATATGTCATTCAAAACAAATATATTATTTGTTTGTGATGAGCTGCTTTTCTCTTAAAAAATACATTATTATATTACCTTACTTATTGTCCAAATCAACATGTTCAAATACAGGAAAGGCACCCTTTTAAAATAATCCTTCTAATATAATTGTTTTCTTATTTCTTTTTTTAAAGAGATAATTCCTTTAGTGTGACATTTAAGAAAATGTTTTAAACATACTTTTTTTCTTAAACGAATCTCAAACTAGGAATTTAGCTTGAACCACTATGGGCAATTCTGCAACCAAAAATAATCAAAAGTTCTTGAGGTATACTTTATGCCATGATACCTAACTTGGGGCAAGGAGACTATGAATATCTCATTCAATGGGTACTAAAAACACAAATACCACTCCTGCTACCACTATGGATGATGGTTACATCCCACATTCCAAGCACTCTGCTTAGTTCCAGGCATTTTGATTACATTATGTACTTTAATCTTCACAACAGTACTATCTAATATGGTGGATTTTACTGTACCTACTTTACAACTGAGAGAATTCAGGTCCAGTTGAATAATTTCCTAAGGTAAGGAGGCACTAAGGAACAGAACTATGATTTGAACCCAACTGTCTCACTCTAAAACCTGTGCTCTTATCCACTACATGTACTTAATTGATGTTACAAAGATGTTCTTATACTTGATAAATGACTGATCACAATATTCAGCCATGAAAGCACAGCCAAGATTATGGCAAGGCAAGATTGTGGCAGAAAAAAATTAATGCATATAATCCATATATGTTTAAAACAATATCTATACTAATTCTTTTCAGTAATTGCCAGGTTAAAAATAATTTTACAAATTAATTCTGAGGAAAGTAAGAATTTTTTTGGCTGAGATTTCAATGAAGTCAACAGAAACAGTAGTTGTACCAACTGCATTCTCACGCCGTAAACCACTAAGAAGGAAGCCATCAAAACATTCTTATGTTCACCAGTATGGGAAGCTTTTGATTAGTTCAGGCTTTCATTTTTCTATTACGCTCTTAGGCACCAAGGCAGCATGCATCACATAAATTGAAAAATATAAAAGTGACATTCGTGACACTTGAAGTAGAAGAGAAAGACTAATAAAGGAGTCTGTAAAGGAATCTGCATTCAGTTTTTAAAGTACCTTATTAATAATAAAATCAACTTTTAGCCAAGATTTGAAGGGTTTGATCAATTTATTTTTTTATTCAGTTATAATTTTACAGTTATGTTTTATTCAGCTAGGAAAATATACCTGCCTGTGTCAAAAAAGGAATAGAATATGTTGGTGCCCCAAACTGGTAACATTATAGTGACATTATCATTTACATTTTTGCCCTTGGCATTTATAAAGTAAATGCTTTCTAAGGGAGTTGCATATATTGGACTACATATAATGTCTTTTGACTCCTGGATTTTAGAAAATGAGAAATGGATTGTTAGGAATCTGAAGCTTATATTACAGCTTTAATTCACTGAGTAGCCAAGATAACCGTGGGTAAGGAAAAAAAAGAAGCAAATACAATTTACATCACTTGATCCATATGCTATAAATTTTTTGAAATTATTCATCAAAAGAGTAAATTTATTACTTTTTTTCTTAATTTTTAAAACTAAGATAGTAAATGGTTCCTGAAAATAATCTTTCTTGACTAAGATTTAAAAGATATGGATAAAAAGAAAATAGATATTCAACATGATGGAGATGATGGTAGATTAAGTCTCTTATACCATTATAATTCCACTTTCAAGAGTTACTAATTTAAAGCCTTAGCAATAACATACTTCTGTAAATACTACAAAGAGAAGGAAAAAAGGGCTTATGTTTTATTTCAGAAGACTGAACAAAATAATTAAGGTTAAGTGAATGAGATAACTACATTATATACTATACACTCTAATGCATTATACAAGAATACACTGTAAGACTATAATGTATAATAGAAATAGTTTCCAACTACTTGAATATTTGTTGAAGTACCTACTCTGTATCGGCATAACATTTTCTAAAGGTAAACTAGAGAGAGTTCTCTCCCCCAAATGACCAACATTTTTAACTAGGACCCGAGGCTCCGGCTATTCTAATGCAGGTGATTCAAGGGCCACACCCTCAGCAGTAATGAATTTGAAAAAGTTTAGAGGTTGGGACAGTAAGTTGCCTCAATTGTCCACTTAAAAAATAATGATGGTCTAGATTAGGACCTGAGAATCAGAGTGGAAAGGAAAGTGAATACTTTAGTCTTTTTTTGGAGAGAGAACTTCCTGGATGTGAAGGAGAGAAGTCTGAATGGAGACCAGAAAGGTCTGGAGAAATACTTGAGAAAACTGGCAAATAAATTTATTGCTTTCAGGTATTTTATACTTTAAAGACAAAATAGAGCTTTAAAGAAAACATTTGAAATGAATAAGTTTCAAAATGTTTTCTGTATTCAGAAATTCAAAAAAGATGCTAAGAAATTTAACTTAAATAGGATTATTCTATTTTAACCTTTCTATTATTCTTCATAAATGATACTCTGAACATCTCATGAGCAACTGCTTTGTTTTCACCTTATGTTATGGACACTGAATTGTCTAGTTAAGGAGATATTTGACAGTCCTAACTCTTACATTTCACTGATAACTAAAGTCAATTTGTGGCTTACCAGAAACATGTTTAGGTCTTAATGGGATGTGTTACCAAGTCTCACTCCTGCTTCAATTTTATACTCTAGCTTATCTTTATTTTTCTTTTGTTGCTCCCATTTTGCTTGATTTTGTATACTTGAAGGTTTATTTATTTTGGGGGGAAAGCGGTATATAAGTAAAGTAAACCAGTCCACCAAAAAACAATTCACTGAATGATCTATTTACCAAGTTACTGTGGTTTTTTTATTTTTTTAAGTTTTAGTATCACCAAGACTTTGCTGCAGCAATTTCACCAGGGATTTGCAGTCTTGGACCACTAAGTGTCAATGCCCTCATTAATATTTGAGATGCCTACTACTTCTAGAATGCTCAATGTTATATAAGCGAATAGATGATCTTTACTCATAGTTTTCTGGATCAGGACCTCTATCTATCCCAGTCTTTGACTCTGATAGAAAAATAGCTGTGATGAATGTTTTAAATCTGGCTTAAGGCATTGGTCTGACAATTTTAGGTCTGTTGGTCATTCAGTGAAGGATCATTTACCGAATTGATTTCTGGCTAAATAATTTTCAGTAAATTTAACCACGGTTCAAGTAAACAAAGACAATTTTTTTCTACTACTTTTCTCTTTCAAGTGTAATTTCAGAATCCTTTACTTCCTGATACTTAGTTTATTAAAAAACTTTAGAATGTCACGCCTAAAAGGGAACTGATCTTAAAGACCTCCTATAATATATATACTTCACATTACAGACGAGGAAATTAAGGCCTAGAAAAGTAGGATTCCGTTTTTCAAAGTAACATAGGATGCTGAATTACCCTGCTAGGAGTCTAAGAAAAATCTTAAGGCACAAGCAAAGCAAGGACATCAAATATTTTTCACAGAACTTGACATTTCATATTTTAAGAAAAACATTAAAGTTATTTTCATGAGAAAAATCAGAATTTTGTTGGATTTCCTTACCCCTAATTCACAGTTTAGTATTATGTCTATTTTTAGCTACTTTGTGGTGCCAGAGGTAGGTAGTGAGAGCTTTATATACCATAAACTTTACAGCATTAGGGATTCTTAATCTTAATAATAAACTATATTAATATCATATACTGAATAGCACTTTAAAGATGTGAAAGAGTAAGAATAGTTATCTATGCTGGGAGATGGTTGTCACCTATTAAAAACAGTTGAGGAAGATGTGGTTTGATACAATTGTTTCCATAACACTTGACTATGCTTTCCAGTGACAGTAGGTTACCCTCAAAGAGTTAGGACTGTCAGATATCTCCTTAGCACTACTCTTGGATTCTTACAGTTGGCTTCCTAGTATAGGCCTTTGCCTAGCCATCAAAAACCCTACCTGGTAGATTAGTGACATAAATTTCCAGAGTTTTGGACTTCTGGTACTGATCTTTCGTGTTCTCAGGGTCCATATATGCCCACAGCTGTGTTGCATTCGGTATGACAGTTAACAGTAGAGTTGAATTAGAACCCTGGGTGTTGACTCCCAATCGTTTGTTCTTTACTTATTTGAAATAATTACCAGCATTACAGTCTTGCCACAGACTGCATGTTGACTGCTTTATTGTGAAGTCTCCCCTTATTCCTTATTAACAAAACCCTGATTTTAGCTGAAAAGCATTGTGCTTAGTGTTTTATCTTCCCCAGATAACAAGCTTCTCTAAACCAGTGATCATAACTTCTATTTCTTTTGTACTCTGCAGTTTCTCCATGAACATTAGTTTTTCCTCAGAGTCAGGCTTTCAGGTTCATTTCTGTAGTGAAATGTGTTCACAATTTCCTTTATGGAAAATGCCTTTAGGGAAAATTTATTTGGGAAGAAATGCCTGGAACATTAAGTATTTGCCACAAATATCAACTGATTAAATGACTAAGAAAAAAAGGCTCTTTTCAGTAAGAACTATAGATGTTTTTCTTTTCTCGTGGCATTATGCCATTAAAAAAAAATCTTAAAAAATACATCTCAAATAGAGAGAGCAACATTTTTTTCCTAAGTCACTTTTAATTATTCCTTCTTTGCATCTTTCCTTTTCTTTGCTTTTTTGGCCTGAATGCAGCAGACATTCATTGACCTTTGCTTGTTAACTTCCTGGTTGAAAAAAATAAACTTAATTGTTATATTTATGCTTAGACGTTTTGTTCTCTACCATTCACACACAAAAAATCCTTCCCAAATTAGATTATCATATATTTCAAAATAATCTTTGCCATTAACAATTCATTTTGAAACCTTCATATATCGCTTACAAAAATGTGAATACTTTTTACCTTTTTACCTAAGTATCATATTTAGGAAAATAAAAATAACCCTATTTTATATTTACCAAAATCTGCCTAGCTCAACCATACTTTCTATTATTCTGACACTCAAAACCAAAATAAAATGAAAACAATGATAAACATTAGGTTCAACTAGTCCTTTATAATGTGATGGAGAAGTCTGTAAGAAATATATTTACCTTATTGCCTTTTCAAAGGGGTTTCACTGGTTAAAATAGCTAAAAGAATTTCAGTAAGAAGGTAGGCAGCCAGTATATCACGTGATTATAAAGAGTGCCATGGTTCATTTTGTTCCATGAAATCTATCATCCTTAAAATCATGATTTTTATAGAAGCCAGGAGTAAGTGTTTGGTATCTAAGGATCAGTAGATACTAACCAGTAGATGATTTTGCAAATCTCTTACCACATTTGCAGATTGAAATAGATAAAATTGATAATGGATAGATTAAAGGCTCTCCCAACCCCAATTTCTTGTGTCAACCCTATCTTATTTAAGGACTTCTTTTTAATTTTTTTAAAGTTAATCATTAGATTTTTGTCCTTTAGTTAATGATGAATTTACTAAATTTCAATAAATATGAACTCTCATACCTCTCATCTTACTGTACTGCACACAAAATTAGTCAATACTTTCAACAAATGTTTGCTGTTAATAAATATATATATAGTCACTGTCTTAAGCTCAGAAATACCTTGAGTCAAAAATGATTAACATATAAAATAACCACGGTTCTCTACTGCAGATATTATCTTCTAACAGAAATTACCATTTCCTAAATTTCATCTGTAAAATATAGAGCTTTGGAATACCATTGCTGCAATTTTTGGAAATACTTTGAATGAAATTAGAACTTAGAGAACTACTATTGGGTTTTTTTTTTTTTTTTTGGTAAGTTTTAAGAGAAAAAAGAAAAATATGATGGAGAAAATTACATTTTCCAATGCAAATGTTTTATTAGGAGAGTGATTAAGAATACTAATGAATTTACAAATGCAGCATTTCATTTGCTATCAAACACCAAAAATAAATATATGAAACTTGGAAAACTGTAGCGGTAACACTTGAAATCGTTATGTAAAATCTCCATGCATTTGGAAAACTGCATGCTCAGCTTTATTGGATTACAAGGGGTAGATGCAATTATTTTTTAAATAGGAAATTGTTTTTCATACTATATATGTAATACAAGCACAATTTAGAAATTATGAAACATGCAAGAACATAGGAAAAAAAAGTTCCACTGTACCACCAATCATTACATCCATTACTAAAATTTTGGTACATTTCCTTTCAGTCTTTCAATATGCATAGTGTTGTTTTTCAATATACGTACAGCCATCATACCATTTATACAATTTGTATAGAGGCAGACCTATTGTAAACATATACAGATCATCACTGCTTGGTAACGGTGTCTTTATCCCAAATTATATTTTATATCTTCTACAAAATTTAAGCCAATCAAAGTTATTACACATGACAGTTACTCTACCAAAAATATGTAATCTTTGCTCATTTTCATAGAAAATTGTAAGTATATACATTTCTAATTAACTATATGCTTATACATATTGATCATACAATAAAAAAGTATATGGTTCTTCAACTATATGCATCTCTAATTAATTAACTAAATGTTGTTTTGATTACTCACCTTTAATTGTTGTTCTCTAAAAGTATCCTGAAATGAATTCAACTTACTCTTATTTTTTAACCAAGAGAAGTACAGTCAAAAATGCTAATATTTTCCCTTAGTAGTCTGCTGAAATGTTGGCAGCTTAACACATTCTGGATTTAGTAATTCATCATATTTCCTTGATTGGAATTGATCTCTCAACAAGACAATATGCTTTGGAAAACACTGATTAAATTTAATAAAAAGTGAATGGATGTCAAAGAACAATCTGTTCTGCCTAATAAGGCTTTATAGACTAAGTCTAATTATCACTGATAAAAAACTAAAAGTCCTTTATGTATTGGACAGCAATTAGCTTTCCTCTCAGAATAAAATTCTATTGAACTTAAAAACATAAAGATATCTTTAGCATATTTAAATGAAACAAGTAAGGTTATGATAACATGAAAATCAAAAGATTTAAAAAATGAGAATTTTTAAATAAAATTATTATTGCCTTCTAATATGTTTTGTGACTTAAAAACTGATCTAGTATATATGGAGTGTGTAAAATAACACTGTGGTTCACTAAAATTCCGAGAATCTGTTTGGTGACAAATTCAGTCCAAGTTAGACACATTTTTAAGTTTAAAAAAGAAAAATCCTAGAATATATTTCCATAAATAAATTAAACCTCAGATGAATATATTTTGGCATTTTAGAATTACTGGTAAAGAAACAAGTGGATGTGGACATAAAAAGTCATGGACAACAATGGAAAATAGGTTACACAATGAATGCAAAAGAACACTTGTTAGAAATTTTGAGTTCAATTATGTCTCTGCCTGGTTGAGGTTGTGTAATCTTGGAAAACTCCCTTAATCTTTGAGCTCTCAAAATGAACTTCCTGCAGAATTAGGAAGGCCTCTTCTATTTCTATAACCATAAAATTAAAGGGTAAATAGTATGGAAAAGCCTGCCTATTCACAACAGAAAATATTAATTGCCAGAAAGAATCTTTCTGTGCATTATAATGGGCCAAAAGAGAGAAAGGCTCAATCAAGAAAGAAAATAACAACTTCAGTTGGTTGAGCATTTTAACCTTTTGAAACATTTTCATGCGTATGATCTCATTTTAACCTCACCATAATCCTATGAGGCAGAAGGAAAATTATGATTGTCTCTATTCTGCAGATAAAGAAACTGAAGAAAAAGTGGGCATTATTTTGTTGTTTGAAATCACAAAACTATTTCATGGGTTAACAAGAATCTAGGTCTCCTTAGTCCGTAGCTATGACCTCTTTCAATGGAGCTAATAAAGTTAAAGGGAATAATAAGCATATGTAGCTGAATCTAAGTAAGGAACAAAGGCAAACCATTAAAGGACACATATAGGAAACAAGGTTTCAGTGGTAAGTTCTTTGCGCTGATCGGTGAGGTTGTGTACTTAATCCTCAAGCTCAAAGGGAGCTGTGGTCATAATTTCAGAAATGTGTATAATTATTTAAAAATTCAATTTCTGCAAAAAGCAGAAATTTCACTCATTTAATATTATGGGATTCCCCCTACCCCCATCAAAAATTATCAAACTTGTGACAATGAATCATGTAGTATGGCATAATCAAATGGACAAGATCCTTCCAAAAACGAAGGCATATTTATCCTCTCTTGGACTGACTTATAAACAACATGTTTTCTCCTATTCAAATTAATTTTCAAAAAACTGTTTACCTTTCAGGGAATTAAGGTTTTCCTATATTTCTCATGAACATACAGATTCTTTTATACCTGTATAAACTGTAAAATTAATGACAGAACTAACAAACAGGAAAAAGTTTACTTAAGAAATTTGAAAAAAATGTCAAAGCTCCTCGTTACTGAAATATAGTAAATTGAGGTCTTGTGAGTGTTTACCACAAAGTTATATGTATAGCTACACGAATTAACTAACAAAAGGCAATGCTCCAGAGTGTAGCGAAATCTACTTCATTTAGGTTATGTTACTACTTTTTGGTTCAAAGACTGTACTTTTTAAAAAGTGGATACCTGCGGTCCATCTCTGGCTTCATAGAAGTCACCCAATCTTATTTTTGCACTGAAGCTGAAATTGTCCCTTGAGATATCCATTATTCCATTTCTGCTGAGATACTGAAAAAATCACATATTTTTCCACTTCAGGTTTTAATAATTACAACCCAGCTCTGATGTATAGCTATCTTCAGGACACTACTGTTTTGCATATTCTATCAAGGGGCTATGGATTTACAGGAGATCAATTTAGGTTAAGCACATTCATTAGTCCCATACAAGAGAATATTTTGTACCAAGGAACTTTATCTGAGAAAGGAGTGTACTTCTTTTTCCATAAGCATGCTTAATAGGCACCAAATGTGTGTCATTTGGTGAAAAGTATGTACCTTTATTACTTCAGGGTACTGCCTAAGTTTCTTTCCACATGGAGCATAATATGCTACTTCTCCTTGAAGGCGCCCTCCAAAGTTTCTTATTCTTGTCTCTCTCTGCCAGCTACACATAATAGAAATGAGGGTTATCACATACGTAATTTTAAGAAAGCTTTTAAAAACAAAAATTTAAAAAAGTTTGAGAACACATGCTCTTTAGAAAACATGAAAAATACAAAGAAAATAAATATAAACAGCCAGTCATGCAATTCAGATACATTTACTATTAAAATAATTTAGATATTTTTGCTAAGTAATTCAACTAAAAATTAATCAAGGACTCAATTTACAAATATTAAACTCCATTAAATTTTTTAAGAGATCATACTGGCATTACGTTGGGTATTCGGACATGTTCAGGCACATGTGTCAATGTGTGCTGGTTTTTTTACAGCTGAAAAGCTTTAAATGAGAAGAGTACAGTAAACCTGGCTCTCTGCTCTTTGGGGATCATGAAAATTCTCAGTTCCTATTCAACCATTTTAGCCAAACTCTGCTCAAGTCCCTCAGTTTCGCCCACAGTGGCTTTCACCTTCCTTTAAATCTATCTTCACAAAAACCTCTGACACTCTTAACTGTGTCTCTGCTCTTTGCCAAATGATTTGCTCTTGTGACTTTTTCAGTCATATTCCCACCTGGATGCATATGTTCCCATCTGTCATAGTTAGTCTTAATTTTTTTTCTGGTATATCAACTTCAGATATATCAGCTTTGCTCCTCTGCTCTAACAAATAACTATGCAGTATATTCACTTCTCTTATTAATAGTAGAGAATGAGAAATCAAACATGCCTAAATATGTGGGGGGAAATATAAAGATATATCTTATTTTGCATACCCATATTCCAAAGGAATACGCAGCTCACGTTCATCTGTTACTCTTCTTCTTTTGGAAGTGCCTTCAAGAAAATTCAACCAGTTAACATAAAAGATTCGTTTACATACATGAAAAATTTTTGATAGTTTTGAAACTTTTCTTTGAATAATATATCTTAATGACTTGAATTATTTAGTGTATTTCTGCAACTTGTGCATTATTTTTAGATTCTTTTCAACAAAACACATTGTATATAAAGTAAAGGGTGTTTTTCTTTTTTCTTTGGTCTGCATGACAGAATAACTAGTATTCCTCTCTAATGAAAAGACAATGCAAAGGAAAAAATGTACAGCTTTCCCGTCATTTTGTTATTAATGAAATGGCTAAAGAAGGAGGAGGAAAATAGCAGATAGAGGTTTTGGAAAACTATGTACAGTTGTTTTCTTTGAAAATATGAGTTTTAAGATGCTGAAAAATTTCAACATCTGGATCGTACATTTTAAAATAATATAACTTCTATAGCCATATGAATCTATAGTCAAAAACACTTTTAATTAATCTAGAGTACAAAGAATAGGATTATGATTATATGGAAAATTTTTCATAGATAATGATCAAGCTTCACCAGTGCAAATGCACAACATCTTATATTAGTAGGATATCATATTGGTTTGTGGCAAATGAAAACAAAACTAGAAAATTTCAAGAAAACAGTGAAATATGTAAAACAATATTTTACTATACACATCTGTATTTTCTTAGCTATTGAATGAGAATATAGGTTAATTTGGGAGTATTAATGTAAAACCTTTTAATGAAGACCTCTGCAAGTTTATAAAAGGTCAAATAGAAAAAAAAGATACGGCATGTTAAAGGAATAATAATGCTAACTCACTAATACAAATGACATTGGCTATGTGTTGGGCAGATATGCAATTGTACCTTAAGTAACCAAGTGAGCTCATTTTTATAAATTACAAAAAAAGTCCACTGTCAAACTCTAAATTCTAGAAGCATAAACTGAACACAAAAACAGGAAAGTATGCAAACTCGAAAGCTGCCATCAATCAGGTTCTTAAATTGGAAGCACAGAGAATAAAAATGGTAATGAGTCATATCCTTTGAAAATACACGCTGACCTTTCTTAGCCAACCTAAAATCTAGCCCTTGATTCCAGTGAGATCATCCCCAGAACACTGTATAAATAAGAATTCTTGTTATGGTTTGACTTCTACTTCACAATAATAAAAATAAAGTGTAGGTACCAGAGTGTGGACTTGAAGTAAGTGTGGAAGAAGGTGTGCCAAGGAAAGCAGGTGACTGGGATTCAGAACATAAGGCAGCAGGAGCAGAGCCTGGGGCTTTTGCTATGTGGAGGTTACGAGGTGTTGAGTGAGCTGTGAGACTGATGGAAGGGCTTTTGACAGAGGAAGCTGTTTTATTCAGTTTCATTGAAGTTTTCTCTCCTTCAGTATCGCTATCTGATTCATCTTGGTCTTTATCACCATCATCATCCTCTTCTGATCCTTCTGTATCTGATTCTGAATTACTATCTGATTCTGGGAAGTAAAAGAAGCATTTGTATATTATAACTAGATAATCACCAACAGTTTGCAGTTTGTATCTAAATGGAATAGTTCAGGAATCAGCATCTGTGACTGAGAACTCAAGTGAGCAACTTTTCTGAAGAGTAAATGTAAAAATTACTATCTTAAAAGCTATTTGAGTACAATGTATGCAGGCCATAAATCCTCAAAATTCTTCATTAAAAGTAACTGTTTTACTCAAATTATAAAACTTAAATCATAAAACAGTTCTTCTCACATGACAGTATTCACACGATGAGTTTCTGCTCAGTGGTTTCAAAAGCACTTTTAATTTAATAAAGAAGCCAAAGTATAGAGGAAACAGAATTGATTATTTAAATTAATAGATTCTAGTAGCTTAAGAAGTATACTAGGTTCAGTATGAGGAAGAGAACTCTGGAACTATCATTATCCTTTCTTCTGGGCTTTGAGGCCAAAGAAAACAATTTTTGCGGGGAGATGCTTGGCTTTGGGGGTTACAGTTATTCTATTTAGCTGCAAGATTTCATCAAGTTTCTCAGGCTTTACAAAAGACTAGGATTACAGAAATAACTGTGGGGAATAATTTAATGATTTAATAATTTAAGTTCATGCTAGCAATGTAGTCCTATAAATGCATCCATTCCTATAGATATGTAAAATCTATTTCTGGGTTAAACTTGATAACACAGGACTAATACTTGGACTGTATCTTAATCGTTCCCAGAACAACAGCTTCTGTGGAATTGTTTCTTGTGTAGTACTAGCTGTCTACACTGAAGTTCATTATAAAAATTATCTTTGAAAGTGATTAATGTTGATATCCATGATCTATCATGCAAAGTTGTGTTTATGGGAACCCTAGGAAAAATATCAGGAAAAGCTGTTCTTACCCTGAGCAAATAGGTTGTTTTTACCTTATAGACACTTTTTAAATTGTATAATTGACTAGATTTTCCTCTTCATATTGGTAGATAGAAAATTTACAATTGGATTTGTGGCTGACTAGGAACAAATCCAAAACCTTTCCTAATATGTATTTCATCTTTGTATTTAAATTTTAAGCTATCTTATATTTTATGTTTTCAATCTTCTGTGGAACAAGAAGGAGAGTTAAGAGGAAATAAAACAAAAAGAAATTAAAAAGAAAACTAGAAAGTAAATCAAAATAAAATCAGGGGGTACTCTATATATGTTGTTAAATACATTCTGTGTTGCTAACAAATATTCATAGGGATATAGGTTTTTGGTATTTTCTGAATGACTGTGACTACAGTTTTACCTTTATTCAAAATATCTAGTGACACAATATAACAAGCAGCAGAAGAGATGAAAAAGAAAGGACAAATGAGTGGTCATGAATTAAATGAAAATTAAGCAAGTTCCTGAATTTCTTAATTCATGAATTATTTATATTCAATTTAAAGTTCTTTGTTTAATGTTAAATGAATAACAGAGCTGAGAACTTAATTTAGGATTTCCAATTTCAATTATTCCTGTATTTTACCACTCATTATAGAAAGGCGCATAGCTGTGTGAAACACAGTGAATGACCATGATTTTCAGTCTGTGAATGAAGAACCTCTTTAAAATGCTTTGGTTCACATAGCATTTAGAGAAATACTTTAAACTTAAAAGTAGAAAATAACCTGATTGGCTGTCATCAGATTCATCATCTTCATCTTCCTCATCTTCTTCCTCATCATCTTCCTCTTCCTCTTCATTTGAATCTTCAGAATCTTTGCTACTAGGAATGTCTGAATCTGCTCCTCTGAACTGTTCCCCTAAAGATTTTGCAGGATGCGAGTGATGCTGTGTTTTTACTGTGTTCACATTATTGCTAACTGCTTTTTCCTTCCCTTGACTATGCAGTATGGGAGAGGCAGAGGGCATGACAGTTGTCTGATTGCCAGGGGTTCTTCTCCCACTTGTACTCAGATTTACAGGTGAGGAAAAAGGGGTGCTACTTGAAGTAGCAATGTTTTCATTAATTTTACTCTGCATTTTAGTTTTGGTGGTAAGTGCCAGAGGAGCTTCTTGAATGACACTTTGAATAACTCCATTTGGTTGATGATTACCTAAAAGTGCATTTGTCAAGAAAGGATTAGGGTGGTTGTTTTCTAATGTTTGTTTTGGATGTGCTGGTGAACTAGAGGTTGCTTTTGGATTTGACAAAGCTGCAATAACCTTCTTCAGGCTCTTAGATGACTCCTGTTTCTTTAACTGAGCTGGGAATGTCTGTTTATATTGTTCCTGTTGAAACATAAGTTTAAAAAAAACAAAACAATAATGTACCATAAGAACAAAAATTACTCTTTTTTTGCCTTCTGTATCTGACACAGCTACTCATATACAAATTTAAATCATGATATACAAGTGCTATAAAAGTAGTGGCAATAATGAATAGCTGGTTCCTGAATCTTGCTAGACATAATATATTTAAAAATTCAATTAGCCTTTCTGCTTCAAAACATGTTTACTGACTGCCCACCTCTTATTACTACAGCTCCCGTTTTTCTCAATAACCCAAACTTGAAACTCTCAAAACATCTTTTACTTTTCTTTTTTCCAAGTCAGCCATATTACTATGTGGTTTGGATTCTCTCACTGAAATATTGCTCAAATTTAAGCTGTACTATCACTTCTTCCTAACCAACTCCCAATATATGCTATATGCCAATGCCAATTCTCTCGTTATATAAGCCGTATTTTATTATATTAGCTCTTTGGTCAAAACCTTTAGTGCCTCTTCCATCATTGCCAACTTTATAAACCCTAAACAGTTAAATCTGATCCTCAAGTTACTTTTTACTACCTTTGTTGTCCAAGTGGACTATTTGCCATGCCCTGTGCATGTCATACTTTCACCACCTCCACATTTTGCCATCACCATTTTCTTTGCGTGAAACATCTTCCTCTAATAAATTTCAAGCAGATGAAATCCTGTTCATTCTTCAAAATCCAACCCAAGAAGCTTTCCATGTTTGTCCCAGCCCAAAGCACTCATTGCCTCTATCCTTGAGCTCCCTTATACCCCCTTTTATTCTATCCTGTATTACCTACAGTAATCATGATTTGAGGTTAGTGGGAAGGCTGGCTCAACATTCTGTGGGATATACTTTTGAGTGCCTTCAGCACATTAACATTGGCAAGAGTTTAGAAAATAGTTTAGAAAAATTATACCTTCCTTGGGAAAAATTATTTTGTAAACCATTAAGCCATAAAATTTACATATGTAAATAAGGAACAAAAAATTATTTGGCTATCAGAATCTTCATGAAAAGAATAACATCATATGAATTTCATTAAATTTGTATAATTAAAATATAAAAAAACAAACCGAAATAGTATGATTAAAATATCAAGTTAATAGAAATAGAGTTGAATTTTGAAAGGTAAAATTCTGTAATGAAAATGGTTGCCTTGAAATTAAAATCAGCAGTACTGTCAGCATTGGACCCGGGCTGTTAACACTCAAGTCAGCAAAGCCTTGTGGTGGGTTATTTCACAAGTATAAATGCAGATGGAATGCCATATAGAATGACTTATTAAATATTTTAAAGCACCAGTACTAATAAGCAGTAAGAAATTCCCATATAAACTTCTTTATCTTATTTAACTTATCCTCACTGTATTTGTTTAGAAAATTAAGTTAGTACTTTGTAAACAAAGACTGTCACATTATATTTGTATTGATACATAAGGCAATGCCTCACAAAGAGAAACTGCTTAATTGGTATTTATTCAGTGAATAAAATATGGAATATTATACTACATAATTGTGTTTACCTTTTTAAAAGAATTTTATGGCAAAATTTTTACATAAGATACTTTAATATAATTTTACTTAATATTTATATGAAACATAAATATTTTATGTTATATTATGTGAGTATACATATAATGTACTTATACTTCGTATTTTATACATATACTGATTTAAATTTTCAGCAGAAAAATTTAGTGTATTTTCATTTCTTAGAACAAAATTTTGTCACATAATCATTTTGTATTCTTTTTTTAATAGGTAGTAAATATTCCTTCCAAATACATAGGATCAAAAGAGTAATGAAAATAAAAACGTTCCCTTTAGTTTTAAATTTTACATTTTAATTTTTTGAAATTGTTTCTCACTCTATAACTCTGAAGAATCACTTCTCATATGCTGACATCTGAAGGTTTTCGAAAATAACCAACGATCACTGTATTTTATCCCAAGACTAGTATCAGTAACTCTTTTACAGCAAACATCCTATCTTTTTTGATATTAGGGGTGTACATAAAGTAGGAGGGGAGAAAAAAGAGACCTGTATAGCAGCAAGTGTCCTGCTACTTTAAGATATCCCCTTGGGTGACAGGAGTATGAGAAGAGAGAGGTTCGAAGCTTTGTCCTACCACCAAGCTCTTGCTCCCCTAGTTCTTACCTGAGTCTCTGTAAGGCCATAAAAAATCCACTAGGCAAAACTTGATAAAGATTTTTCACTCCTGGTCTTTATATATGATTAATGTATATTGATTTAAATTAAATGTCTACAGTATAAGGGTATGAAAGGATCCAATGATTAAATAACACTGAAGAAAATCATAAGACTAGTGTGGGAGCCAGATACATAGCAGGAAGCATGAAACAATTGAGACTATCATAAGAAATCAAGCAAAGTTCTATGTTAGACTGTCACATAAAGAAAGAGAACTGATATAAGAGAAATATTTCTAAAAATACCCTTTAACTCAATAGTAGATACCAATAAAAAGTAGATAAAGTCATTGAGAGTTGAGTCTACTGTGAATGCCCATTCACATAAAATATTTCCCATTAACAACCATTATCATTTCAGAAACACCAAATTATTTCATCTTAATCATGGGCTTTGAAATCAGAATGATCTTGGTTTAAAACCTGTCTGCTCTTAACTTGTTATATGATGTTGAAAAGTGACTTAACCTCTCTGAGCCTTAGTTCCTTTACCTGACACAATTTTGTAAGGATTACATAAGATCCTATGTGTAGAAAGCCTAGCTTGGCTACATTTAAATAAGCAAGTGTTTAATAAATGACTTTCTAATAGGCAGTCATATGAAAATTTTAAATAAGAATTTAAGAAACTCTGAAAAAATTAAGAAAACATTCATTATGCAAGTAACTCGATGTGGCTCTATACATTCATTTGTCTTAAAGTAGAATATATATTAATGGAAAATTAAAATAACCCAGTGTGATTTTCAATTTGCTTAATTTCTCAAGGAGAGTCAATAATGTGATGCCAATAACTCCTTATGATTGACCCATGCATTACAAGTTCTCGTATGTGTGATATTCACTGGTCATTCCATTTAGATCAGTGGTTCTCAAATTTGGCTGCACATCTGAGTCACTTGGGAGGCTTTTTAGACATGTAATACCTCAGTCTCAACACAAGAGATCCTGATTTTAAATTGTTCTAAGGTGGTTAGTTCATTTTTAAAGTTTCCCAGGTGATTCTAATGTACACTTAGTCTTGAGAACTACTCATTTAGATTCTCAAAAGAGCCTGATTTGCTCAAGTCATTTTTCTTTGACCTTGTTCTGAAATTCTTCACTGTAAAATAAAAGTCAATGGACAAGGACATTGCAACTTTTTTGAGAAAGAAAGGCAGCATACCACAGTGATTAAGAACAAGGATTCTAGTACCACACCGCCTAGGTTTGAATTCTAGCTCCATCACCAACTAGCAGTGTGATCTTGGGAGAGTTATGTAAGTCTTATGAATCTCAATTTGATCATCTGAAAATGGACATAATATTATTAGTGGCACTTACAGATGTTAGTATCCAATGAGTAAATGCATGTTCAGCACTTAAAACAATGAATGGCTGGCAAAACAGTAAGTGCTCTACAGGTCTTTTCCAATGATTAGGATGCCTACTGATAATTTGTATAACCAAAAGACAGGAGACTGTGTTCAAAAATAATATTTTTTCTCTAGTCTGGGTGAGTTCTAGAATAAAAAGCACTGGTTATTTAATTACTAGGATTCTTCTGGACATATGACTGTAGACTATATAATATTATAATATAAAACTAACAGCAAGAAAATAAAGATGAAAAAAATTCTCTGATGAGAGTGGTTCTGGTGTTTATAGAAGTAACGTTACTAAAAATATTTTGTATAATTAATTAAGAATGGTAAAGGAAAAGCATTCTTTCTAAAGGATTTTTATACTTAAAATTGACAAATCATAGGACTACAGAGGTAAATGACTCAAGAGTTCATTTCTTTAAAAAAGAATATACTAATATTAGAAAAAAAAGGACATTGATTTTAAACAAAAGTAATTGTAAAGTATGTCCAATACAAACATGTTTCTCCCCTTACTGCTAAATCATTAAACCTGGGGAAAAATGACAAGACTGTGTTGCCAAAAATACATTCAACAGGTGTGTATGTAAATATAAAATCAGAGAAATTTAGTTTTCTGATGTGCATATTCTATTCCTGGTGACTAAGAAAGTATAACAATAAGAGTAGAATTCAGTTTAAACTTGTATAAGACTATATAAAAGCTGTTTTTATAATAGTAAAATTCTTCTATAAATAATATCTAACTCACCCGTTTGGAACGCAATTCACTGGTCAAAGGACTAGATTCTTCAGAGGTATTTTTATTCCCTGCTTTAAGTACATCAGGAGAAGGAACTATGAGTTTCATGTAAATTTCCTTTTTGGCTTGATTTACCAAAGATAAAGGTTTCACATTGGACACCAATCCCGTAGACTGTATTACACTTGTGTGTTTGTTCACAGATTCCTCCTTTGCCTGAGAGCTTTGGAAAATAAATGGAAGCTGCTGTGACAAAACCTGAGGCTGCTTCTGCTGGGATTGGAATGATGAGTGAGTCTGGGATTCAGACACAAGAGGTAATGGCTGGTGTATTCTTTTTTCCTGGGCTTTTTCAGTTGCTTTCTGTCCTTCTGCTTTTGGGTCTGAAACACCATGTAATAGCACCTGTAAATACAAATTAAAAGGCAACTTCTTAACGTCTATTAAAACGAAGAGCATCAAGGAGTAAAACATGGAGGAAAAAAAGGGTACTTAAAAAAGTGTTCCTAATGACTTACAATAGATATATAAAACTCACTAAAAAATACACAAAATGTTCCTTTAAAAATGTTTCACCACCTCCTTTTTTTTCTTATGCAAAAGGAAGAACTAAAGGCAATGATTAACTTTAAACTTTATAGACTTTGAGAGTTAAGATAAGACAGTTAATTCCTAAATTTGAATAATGTGTAGATATTGCCAATGAAATGATTTGTACCTACCTGGTTGTTACTTTTATGTTGTGCTTCACTCTCTGAATCAGAATCATCATCTTCACTTTCTTCAATACTTTGATCTTCTTCTTCTTCATCTTCCTCTAGATCATCTGAATCACTACTACTAATGCCTTCACTTGATGTGTCTGATGAGGTGCCTGAATCACTATCACTGTTGCTAGAACTTTCCATAGCTTTCTTCCTTGGTTTCTGGATAAAGACAAGATTTTTAAAAAGACTTCTATTTTTGGAAAAAATTCAAGTTTCAGTAAGAGGTATGCTCTTTTAATTTTTTAATGATATTTTCAATCTCAAAACATTTTTCTAAAATGTCATTTTAGAAAAAAGTAAAAAGTCACATGTTTTAAGGGTATTTATTCAACCAACTGATCAAATTAACTTATCTGACAGGAATTCTCCAGTAAAAAGTATAAACTCTGTCAATATGCTATACAGTATTCTGTATAGAATATTGAAAACATCAATATAGTGTGTATATATGTACATATGTATACATATATACACACTCATATGACTGCCATGCTTCGAAATGTAGGACAGATTAAAAAGAGCAATTTATGATAGGGTTACATACACTGATGTTCTACATTTAGCTTTTAGTCTTCTTTCTTTGTGCAAATAGTGAGTCAGTAGCCAAACACACCTTTCTAGGTGCTGGACTCCAATGAAGTCTAAGATGAGCCTCTGCCTTCAAGAAACTTACATTCTAGTGGTGGTGGCGGTGGACTAGACAGAGAGTAATTTCAAAACAAATAATCCCATATAGTAAAAAGTACTGGAGAGAAGACAAAATAGGTAGAAAAAGGCTTAAGGGGCTGCTTTAGTTAGGGTCAAGGAATTTAAGTTTTTTAATATTTCTGAATCAAAAAGATAGAAAAATATGATAAAGAAGGAGATTAATTTCTGGAACATTTAAAATCCTATAGGGCAATGAAAATCCAAAGCTGGAAAGGGACATTTGGTCGCATAAAAGGAAAGTTGTGTGTTTAAAGGACAGACAATGGTAGTGGATAAAAAGATGAAAAATAATGAGATGAATTATAACTAATAACGATATAACAATGAAAAAGTTAAAATTCTGCCAATAGGAAGACTATAAAGGAGAAATGTCAAAACGACAGAGCAACAAGATTGAGTACAATCCGAAGTTACTTAGGAACATTTCTATAGTGTTTGCTGGTAGATAAAATAGAGAACAAGATACAGAAAAATCAGCAATAAATTACAAAAGCAGCAAATTAGAAAAGTTATGGCCTTAATAGAAATACAGCCTTTCATAACTACTGGGTTTGGAGAATAAAAGACAGTAATACACCTCTACAACAGGATGCCAGGTTGAAACCGTAGTTACAGATTGCAAACCTACACTCTTTCCTTTGTGTCTTCTAAAATTTGATTTAAATCATATAAAATACATGAGTGAGGAGAGTCACTCCTGTTATATTCTGTTTGCCATGGTACTGTGTTAACTGCTCCAAACTAGCAACTGTAATGCTTCCTCCACAGACACACCCTTCAATAAGCTAATATTTCCATCACTCCCTGAGCTACCTTCTTCCCTCACAGTAAAGCAGAAAGTGAATTGGAATAAAGGAAATCAAAGGATGAGAAAGACCAAAGTAGAGGTTAAAGGGAAACAATAGTAGTATAACAACATTAAGCCTATCATTTATTTGGCAGAGAAACCGCTCCTTCTTTGCAACCAAAATCTGCTGTTGAGTTTTCTAAGCATGTATAGCAAGACTATGAAAGTCATTTCATTTGACTATGAAAGTCAAATCCAAAGTTATCACTTTCGGATTTAGTAGAGGCTAAGTAAGGAAGGGAATGAGGGAGCTACCGTGATTTGGCAGAAAAAAATAAACTCCTATTTCAATGTCCAAGTAATCTGTGTAGTTTTAATTTAAAGGCAGCATGACAGATGGGTCCTATACTCCCCAAGAGTGGGTCTAGAGATGCGGGTTCTAAAGCTTTAGGGAGCATAATATTCAGCACAGAAGTTGCTGCAAGCAGCAGATTCCTGGGTCCCAATTCCAAACAGGCACAGGGATCTGTATGAAACAAGCCCTTAATGTGATTCTGGCGCAGGTGGTCTTTGCAGAGCATACTCTGACAGTGTGCAAAGGGTTTGTGTTTTATAAGGTAACAAATTTAGTACCCATGTTAAAAAAAAAAGTAGACATGAGTAGACAAGTCCAAGTATTGGAGAAAAATGAATTTCAATATCACAAATTCCATCTCCTTGGTCCCTATTAACATGTGCGGGGGGTGAGGGTGGTCCTTTTGCCTGCTCACAATTAGGTAGTCTGTCTTTTTTCTGTCATTTATACATTTTAAAAATGAGTCTTCTTAGGTTCATAAAAAAATGATCAAAGGAGAGTTTGTTAATAATAAACTCCACCCCCCAACCAACCTGGGAAAGCTTTTCAGAACCCTCTCCTTGAACTTTCATTTCACTGTATATTTCTTACATTCAATAGCAAAACAAATACATATTCAAGGCTATTATGTACCAGGCACAGTTGCTCTAGTCTCTGGGGATACAAGGGTGTGATAAACAAACAGCAACTCTGCTCTCATGGGAACAGGGAGAAGAGAATCAACAAACAATATAAATAAGGGTTTTTCAGTGATAAATACCATGACTAAAACAGGATAATTGAGTAGACAGTGTGTGCTGGATGGACATTTAGATGTAGTTGTCAGGTAAGACTCTTCTGAGCTGAGACCTAAATGGAGAGCAAGAGCCAGTCATAGAAAGATAAAAGGGCCTTTCAAGACAGGGGAAACAGCAAAGGCAAAAGCCACGAGCTGGAAACAAGTTTGACATGTTCAAAGAATGGAAAAGTCAGCTAGGCCTGCTACAGCACAGAAACCTGGGAGAGAACAGTAGGAAATAAGGCTGGATGGACTGGCAGGGGTGAGACCACACATGGTCTTATGGGCCATGGCAAGGATTTTATTCTTAGTGGGATAGGAAACTATTAGACAGAATGATAACACAGGATGTTTTAAAACGATAAAAAATCACTTGTTTTTTAAAAGACTGTTACAGCTGCTGTGGTAACAATAATTTGTATGGCAGCAGGAGTGGAACTTAACCTTGAATTGTCTTATTTTTTTTCTCAACAGGCTGTATGTTAGTATATTTTAGTTTGTGTTGACTTACTTTAATTGTTTAATTTAAAATACTTATATTTATTCTAAATATACATGTAGACTATGAGAGGGAACTGGACTTAATCAATGATTTTCAATGAGTACTACTGAGATAAGTAACCCTGCCTCCCAGGAGGGATTATCAAAATCAGCTGAAGAACATTTTTCAAGCTACACATGAAAAGGGCTGATGAAGCAATTTTTTTTTTTTAAGTTTTTAAAACTGAAAAACATTGGGTAATAAAAGTATAGGATTTTCTTCTTCAGTTTCAACTCCCTTCATCTTCATTTAACAACCTACTAATGCAAATTCATTCCAGACCATGTATTATCCAAAGATACGCTTCTGAAATCTTAAGTTCTAGTATCCCTCACATTGACAGTCAATCTCTCTCTAGTGTTACTTCTATGTAGATGTAAATCAACACCCCTATGGTACCTGGAATTTCTTTATATCATTAAAGAGGTACCTCTGCAAGTTTTTAATACCTGATCCTGGAAATATTTTCTACTTTAACAGCACCAATTTTGTTTAGGAATGTCAATACTGATTCCTTACTAGAACTAAGGACACGATCTGTTTCAAATCCATTCCTCCAAAGTCTTGCCTTGTACCTTACAGAGGCACTAGAGATACTAGATGTTACTAGATTTAGCACTACTGCTAAGAGGTAGGATAGTGTAAAGTTTAAAAACATGGACGCTTAACTTTTAGAAATACATATAGATATAAATATATTCCATGATACTATGTCTACAACCTGCTTCAAAGTACCATGGGAGCAAGGAATGGGTGGTGTTTTTGGACAGCGTCTGGTGTGCAGAGAAGCTAGAAGCAGTCCAGAGACAGGCTTTGGAGCTCGTACTAATGGGAATGCCCTTGAAACAAATCATAAGGGAAAAGAGTAAAGAGCAGTTGAAGAGGAACAGGTGGAAAGTATGACCCTAAAACCTGTGTCCCTGGAAGGAAACAACCAAGAGTCTTTTATCACATTTGCTCGAGTGCTCAGTGGGGTGGCTTGAAGAGGAAAGTAAATGTTTGTCTTGGGGCCTAAATAGAGTCCTGTCGAATTTTTGTGATGGCTATCATTAGGCTTCGAGGCTTCACCAGATGACCTTCCCCCAGACCCTCATATGTCTTGCTATGTGCTGGAAAACATTTATCTTCTGTTGAGAGGGAACTGAAAGATCTAGAGGAAGTATTTCTATAAAATATGCTGGGCAAGAGGGAAGAAACCTTTATTTGTTTAGCTAATCGTGGAAAATATATGGAGCTCAATGCTGTCTTGAGAAAGGACAAAGAAAAATTTGATAAAATAGTTCCTTGGGGTTAAAAATTGGAGCCTGGGAGGCATGTTGTTCAGATTTAAAGTTCAGATCAGTGCTATCTGCAATCAGTGACTACTCATACCTTGCTCTTGCTGTGGTGTGTCACAAGCTTTTCAATTCCCTTATTATTATAGCTGAGGTCATGGAGAAAGTGGTATTACAGTATCACAAACTTTTGACTCTCTTCCCCCAGAAAAATCAGGCCCTGAAAGTGGTTTTTATAAAATGTAGACGAAAAGACATTGCTCTAGTTATTATCTTTGTTTCCGAAATGTTTGCAGTTGATGCTAAGGCTTTAACTCAGAATAAACCAAGACTTCTCTCTCAAGAAGAAATTACCAATGGGAGCAGATCAAATTCACCGATACAGGTGCACTTACTAGAAATGCTGGATATAATGTGGTAGTTCCTGTAGCTGGAGGTATCTCAGCTTACTTGGTTGGATGAATGAAATCTGGACACAGTGGTGAACTATACTTAGTAAAGTTGAAATGTCACAGCTTCCCTGGCATGATGTGCAAGAGGAAATCCAAAGGCTTAGAGTGACCGGAATATTGGAGTGAATTTACCATGTGCAATCTGCATACCCACCCTACTCCTGATACTGCTTCTACAGCAGACAAGGTCTAGTCAGGAGGCAGAAACCACATGATCAATTTGAACAGCGAAATTTTGTCATAAGGAAGCAACAACTAGTAACAGAATATGAACTACTAAGAGGGAAAGAGACCTGTAAAGAATACCGGAATAGCCGATGTAGGGAAGAGCCACTTCCTGTATGGCTGAGGTAGAGTACTAAAATAAACTTGGAAGAGGGTCTTTCTTCTCCAACCCCTCATTCACCCAAGGCTGAACTTCAGACTTTGTTGGAAAGGATGTGGCTGTTGCCCACTGGATGGCAGAGAAGCTCACTGAGGTATCACAGATCAAGGCTGGTACACAGGAGACACCACCTGCTGGAGTGCCAGAAAAACTTGCTGGGAATCTGCTATCGGGGTGACAGTAAAGTTAGCTAGAAAGCCAACCACTGGCATCCCAGAAAAACTCACTAATAAGCTGCCTGCTGGGATGTCAGTGACACTCACTAGACGGTATACACTACTGGGTCTCTCCTGAACACAACTGGCAGAGAGGCCGCCAGCTGGTGAGGAAGCCACCCACTGGCAGCCACAGCATAAGACCAAGAAGAAAACACTTGAACCAGGAACAGAAGCATTTTCCTCTTCCAGTGTGTCTCTAGGACCCTCTAATGACAAGGTCTAACATAGTGCCAACTGGCAAAGGAGAAAAGGAGAATTCAGCTGGGGTTATGATGAAATACAATTGGCCATGAGATGGTAACTGTTGAAACTGAATAAGGGGTACACAGGATTATTATGCTATTCTGTCTTCTGTGTATATTTGAAATTTTCCATAATGAAAGGTTTTTTGTTTTTGTTTTCCTAAAGCATGGGCTCTGGAGTCAACCTGCCTGACTTTGAATCCTGACCACTTAATGGCCAACTATTTGGGGGCTCTTTTTCCCAGTTTATAATAATAGTACCTACCTCAGTATGGGTATAAGGAGGATTGAAATAGATATTATATGCAAAGCAATTACAGCAGAACTGGCCTGTGTTAAGTTCTCAATAAATCTTATCTATGACTACTATTTGTATTATTTATACTGGTGCTGACAGTTTTAATTTTTTAGATGCATAATACTAAAACCACCCCGCAAAAACGAATATCTATAAAAATAGAAGTTGATAATTCATAAAAAGTTATTCCATAGATTCAGGTGGTTTGATCTTTAGAATACTTGTATCGATCTGTTATATATTTGTGCCTCAAAGAACAACTTACCTTATCTTTGATTTTGTCAGCTCTAGCATCCAAAGGCTGGGTTTTGTTTGGTTCCTGACTACACTTTCGATTTCCTCCACCTGAGCTTATACTTTTAGTTTGTCCCACAGAACTTGAAGCAGTAGTGGATAGTACAGATGTGTTGATACCAGATACAGACGATGTGTTGTTTCCATTTATTGACCCATTTACACCTTGAAAGTAAAAATAAATATATTTATGCAAGAGAATGTTATTCAGCCATAAAAAGGAATGAAGTAATGACATATGCCACAATGTGGATGACTCTTGAAAACATTATGCTAAGTGAAAGAAGTCAGACACAAATTATGATTCCATCTATATGAGATATTCACAACAGGTAAATCTATAGAGATAGAGTGCAAGCTAGTGGTTGCCAGGGACTGGGAGAGGGAATAATAGAGAGAAACTGGTTAACAGGGATGAAGTTTCCTTTCGGGGTGATGAAAATGTTTTGAAACTAGATAGAGGTGGTTGTTGTACAACACTATGAATGCATTACATGTCACTGAATTGTTCAGTTTAAAATGGTTAATTTTACATTTGTGTGAATTTCACTTCAATTAAAAAATTTTTAGAAAGATAATTAAATGCGAGTATTCCCCCTTTCGGAGCAAACTCCCCAAACACTTAAGTGAAAAGAAAGGTAATAATAAACCATCTAAAATGCTATTATAATTTGCAAATGTATTCTAACCACAGTTATCAACTATGAAATATTAATGACAATTTAAAAGAAAAAGGCGTACTAACATATTAGTTTTAATTAATTTAATGCTTAATTACAGAAAAAGTAATATATTTTATTGAGTGAACGTGAAGGAGGTAATGAGATACAGAGGAAAAAGCAGTGGAGTCTGGAGTTAGAAAACCTGGGTTAAATTCTGGTATGCAATGTCAACATGTAAACAGTGCTTCCTTGAATAACTTATTTAACCTTAGCTGCAAAATGACAATGCTTCCAATCTCAAAGAGTTATTATAAGGATTAAGCAAGACAATGTGAAAGTGTCTAGCACAATGCCCCATAATTGTTACTAAATGTGAACCCTATTAAAAATAGGTATTGAAATGGAGGATTTGTAGTACTTCACTTAAAGTTAACATGGATACCTTTTTCAGGACCATTTCGATTACTTTTTCCCGAAGCCCTCGAATGGAATGAAGAAGAATCATGATTCTGGGCTGGAGGAGCAAACAGTGGTGGAATTCCCAGTAATGGTGGAAAGAAGGTTGCCCCTGCACGCGTATGAGCATCTGTTGTTCGCCACCATTCTGCACCTCAAAGCCAAACACCAAACAAGCAAAAATATTTGAATTAACTTTCTAGCTAATTTAACAGTGCTTTTTATATTTTATTCCTGAAAAAAAACTTCAAATTTCATCTTGGAACACAATTGCTGAATTACACATAGTTCTGATCATCTTTCTAATTATAAGACAGCTGGTTAGAAGTTATACACTCATTATTCTGCTCATTAAGACAGTATCCAAGGATCTTCACTTAGCAGCTTCCTTGAGTTCAAATTTATGAAGAACAAAAGTAGTCTATGGTTTTAAAAATAAAATGGGAAACTTGGAATATTAAAGAACTATTTGACTCTTTGATGACTTACATCATAATTTTTCTAAATTAGTAAAGAAACAATGTTTAAGACTATTTTAATCTACTTTAAAACCTTAGAATTTAAGGTTACCATCTACAACCTATGTTAAGAATTTCCTTAAATTACATACAATATAAAGCTGGCTTTGATAAATCAGGTGGTTTAAATAATAATACAAAGACCACTGTAATCCAGCATATCTCAAATGCATTTATGGAAGAAAACATCCTATACTCAAAACAATAGAGATAGCAAAATCAGTAAGCCTTTTTTTTTGGGGGGGGGGATGTCTAAGCAATGAAAAGTGCTTCAAAGAAGATTTTTAAAACAAGTTAAGTCACATTAAAATATAAAAGATTTATAGTTTCTCCCCTTAAAGTTAATGAAGAAAGCCTGAATTTTATTTATACTTCCTCTCATAAATTACAGATAACAATGTTTTATCAATGTAAAATGACTAAATGGTAGAAAATCATCAAATGCAATTTAGATATTCAAACAGTGGCTTTTAGTTAAAACTTTTAGAAAAGGAGAGAAGACAAATTTTATAGAATACATTATTTAGGGAAGGGTGAAGATTAAGAAGAAATTTGAAATAACCCAATGGACAATCTTGTATTGCCCCATGTAAAATCTTGGAAACAATATTTTCCAATTGGCTAACCAGCTAGATTACCAAATCAGTTATTACCTTTCAGGCTAATCTTCCAAGAGATATAGGATACTTTTCATTGACTTGATAACCACGAAAAAATTAGAGGAAAAACCCCAATAATATAGTGTGGGAAAAATTCAATATTGTCAGTGTACTGTATTATATGATCTTTAAAGCTTTTCTAGGAATATCTCTTTATTAAAAATAGGATGTTAAGTGATGTGCACCTTCATTAGCTAAAGACAAAAGTTTAGCTTAATAAAAAGTGAAATGTTCATGGTAACTGACGTTCTGAAAGGTCTAAAAAACAGTATAAGCAGAAAACTGCAAAAGCTATTCTTCTGCACTGCAGGAAGGCACTGCTAGTGAAATGACACCAATGTATATTCAGCAGTGGCTGAATGATGGGAACTGAACCAAGAATAACTACACAAAACCATAAATCATTTATCTACTGTTTAGATGAAAGAACTGTATGTAGATAGGAAGAAAAATTATGTATTTGGGGCTTGTATTAGCACAGCTGAAATCTGTTGTTATTTATAGGTTTGAAAACTAGGTCCTACATAGCTGATAAAAAAGGAAACTTCAGTTTCCTGAAATATTCATATTATTTAAAATAGAGTCTATAATTAAAGCATTACAGTTGAACGTTCAGACTTTGTAAACAACCCACAAATCGGTAAGGCAGTCAAAGTGTAATAAGACTCAAATATTTTAGACATAATCAAACTCAGAAACAACATAAAAATGTACTTAGAATGTCAATGGTAAATAAGCACACAATAGGGATTAGAAAAAAACACAACTGGAAAATGTGTACGTTATAAATAAGGTGACACCATGAGTAAAAATACAAGTAAATAAGATCAATTAAATAAAAAGATGAAAAAGATAGCGCTTCTGATCACAAGCTTCACAAATGTCTAATAATTCATGGGAAATAACAGAATTTTTGATAAGTGATGAGCTTATTTCTCTTCCAAATTTAAGAAAATAAAAAAACAAAATTTAGTCACTCACAAACTAGCTTGTTGATAAAATGAAATATACAAAATAAGAATCACATAAACCAGCACACGATGAATTTCTAAATGTATTCAAGGGCAGTAACTGCATGGTAACAACATTAATCATATTCAACTGAAAGATTCTAATATTTCAGAGGATATACTGAATCTCAATTTGAACATAGAAGACAGGAGAATTTAAAAATCTTTCAAACTTGATAGAGCCAGATACGTCATGAAAATTCACGGTAATATAAAAATATAATGATTAAAAACTGTAAATGTTTTAAAAGAACTTACCGTGAAATACTATTTCAATATAAAAAAACTTTACTATACTAATATCCATTAAGTAATTTGCATGTGTTGATTTAGTCATCTGAAATGCAGACACATTTAGAAGTGGATAATATTTAAAAATAAACTATTTCTCTTTTAAAATTCCTAGTAATTTCTTCCTGTGCGTCTTCATCTATTTAGTAGGTGATTTAAAATTTTTGGCATTTTGGTTACCCTTCTGAATAAAACTAATCATAGAAAATTTAAATTTAAGTTATACAAAACGTACAACTTAAACAAATGAGGCCTCTAAAACAAGGCATAGTCTCTGTTCACTTGGCAAAAAAGTATGCTTATACAGGCATACTTTTACCACTAAAGACTCTGTCTTGTAATTGTCTGTTTATCTATCTCCTAAAAACTATAAGCAACATAACATATACTATGTTAGTATATTCCTCAGTGCTTGGCCTACTGCACAGAACATAGTAGATGCTCAAAGAACTTTGTATAAGAAATGAATGGGGCTTCCCTGGTGGCGCAGTGGTTGAGAGTCTGCCTGCCGATCCAGGGGACACGGGTTCGTGCCCCGGTCCGGGAAGATCCCACATGCCGCGGAGCGGCTGGGCCCGTGAGCCATGGCCGCTGAGCCTGCGCGTCCGGAGCCTGTGCTCCGCAACGGGAGAGGCCACGACAGTGAGAGGCCCGCGTACCACCAAAAAAAAAAAAAGAAATGAATGAGTGAATAGTTTATGTAGGCTAGGGAAGTTATCAAAATTTTTTTCTATGCAGTGGAAGTATCAACATTATTGAAGTTGAGATGAGTAACTCTTTACACCTGTTAACCATGTTTTCAGTGCAAAAGATATTTGATTTTAATTATACAATAATTACATTGTGGTTTAGAAATGCTCAAAAGTAATTAATACTTTATATATCAAATATAATAAACTATGATAAAACAATTTTTAAAATTTAAGGTACTAGCAACTATCTATATTACTATTATCTATTTTAATTTTTTATTCAGCAATACTATATTTCAGCAAATACCTATTGAATACTCATCTTGCTAAGCAACCATGCTCAAAACTGACTGAAATAAATTCCTATTAGTATTTTTAAAGCAAATGTCAAGACTTAGTTTAAGACTTTGTTTTAACTTTCTAGCCACATTACTATCTCCTCTCTGAATTAAAGAAATAATATGACTCAAGAAATAGTACTTGAAATATATACTTAGCCAACTTTCCATTCTACATATATAATTCAAACAGGATACTTGTTTCCTTTTAAAGAAACACTCGACAAGAATAAAAACAATGATGGCTACCAATTACATACTAATTAGGTGTGCTAAACACTGCATTCAGCACTAAACATGGCTTAGCGCCTTTAATCTTCACAAGAACCCTAAGAGGCAGATACTATTATTATTATTATTGTTATTCTCATTTTTCAGATGAGAAAACTGAGGCTGAGAGGTCAGATTACTTGTACAATCAAGGTCACACAGCTAAAACGTAACAAAGCCAGATTTAAATTCAGATCTATTTGTCTCTGAATTATGCTCTAATTTTTAAACTACTTTCTATAACAGTAAATCATGCATCCTTAACTAAAATTTATTAAGGTAAAGTTAATCACTGGAAACACATTAAAGTTTAGACTTTCAAAATAATATAACAAGAGAAATTACAGCATGTTTGTCTAAATTAAGCTTTAATTGGTGTCTTACTGAACTCCTGAATCCTCATAATCTGTAGAATTTGGGATAATTCTGGTCTTCCTGCCACACAAGTGGTGCAAATCTATGGTTGTTTTAATGAAATATGAAAAAAATAGAAATTTAAGAGCCAAGCTCATCTTACTTATAAATGCAGAGAAATGAGAACTCAAAATAAAAGTATATTCATAATAAGAACTGGACTCCAGTTTTCCACTGTAAGTTAAATATTTTTTTAAAAAATCAAATAAAGCTGAGAATAATTAATCAAACTCTATACTTCTCATACATATACTTTTCTACTTCAATAAAAAGCATGAGAAAAACCTGGCCTAATTACTCACTTTTGTGGCAGATGCCTATTTTTCTAGCTTAACACTTGAATACCTAGTCAGTTGTGCTGCCACCTAGCACAGAGTGTGTTTTATTTTTTTGCACAGGATAAAAAGGACTGAGTTAATTCTTGCACAAGAGCTTTAACATACCAGGCATAATACTATTCTTTTTGTTCAAGTTAATTACCAAACTACTGCTTGAACATTTTCAAGCTTTCCTCCTTTCCTTGAACACTGTTTGTAACAGATGTTTACCTGGAAAAGACGCTAGTTGGGGATGTGCAGCTAAGGCTGTGGGTGTACCAAGTGTCCCCAAACCACCAAATTCTGAATGCCCTGAGCTGGCTGAATGCAGACCAAAGACTGGGTGGCTGACCACTGGGAAGGCACTCGACACTGTGGACAGGTTAAACAGGTGATCCCCAGCTGCTCTGAATAAATGTCCTGGGAGGGAAAAAAACACACTTAAAGTTGTACTAGAAAAAACAGATGAGATTTATCTGATTTCAGCGTTCACAGTGGGTTAAAATTTATAATAGTTTATCTATTAAATTTTTATTATACCTTTTTTCTTTTGCATTTCTGTTCTTCAAACCCTGCAGAATGTTTCTAGAAACATGAAAGTACTCTAAAAATAATTAAAATGAATGGTATAACCTTATTTACGTTGAATTTTGAGATTTGAGAATGACACTTTAAGTACATAACTTTCACTAATTGTAAAGCTTGACCTGCCGAAGTGAGGCAAACTTTCTGCTAATACATTTCTGCACATTAATATTTTATCAAAATTTTTTACTCATAAGAAGGAAGATAAAAACATCTAGTTAATACGAAGTTGAAAATCAATAAAATAAATCCAGAATCTGTCACCAATTCATTACTCAAACTGTCATACACTCTAGGCAAAGAGTTCCTAGTTTCCATGTGCCAGAATTAAAGCTATGTTCTCCATCGAACATCTTTTAGGTGAGGAGAGTTGATACCAAAAATGGATTATATTCTAGCCTAATAAGGCAATGTATACGACAGCATAAAGATTTAATAAATAAACTTACTAATTTATTTCTAAATGCATCCGAGCGTGGTTATCAATATAAAAATCATTTTTAAACATTGTGATAGAAAGTTCATATTCAATCCAAATGTGTGGTTTTTCAATCTCTACGTTTACTCTAAAGAGAATCTAGTACTAAGTGTCATAACCCCAAGTTGCAGTGTTATACCATCAAAAACACAACTTATTTTTCATAGTTTGTAAGGATTTGGCAGAAGATTTGTTAATACTTGGAAATCTTCCTTTTACTTCCGGGAAATAATTAAGTTTCCCTGGCTTGATACTGTGAAAACAGAATATCAAAAACCCACACTCCAGGCTATCTTAAGAATTTACTGCATGAAAGCTATTGCGCTCTGTGTTAAAATAAACATAAGGCTTCCTTATTATCCTGTTTATATCAGACCTGACTATGCACTACAATATAGTTTCAATACAATATGTTTAAAGTAAATTAAAAAATACAACTTAAAAATAAGTATATTTTTGTTATCATTTAGTTATCAACAAAATCCCTCCTCTTTGCTTTTTTTATTCGCTGAAAACTAAGAGGAAGTCATCAAAGAGGTCACAGTGTACTCTCATTGACTAATATAAGCCCTATCTTCTTTACTGAAATAACACTATATTTTTCATTGAAGTAGTAAGATTTAAATAGATTGTATCAAGTATACCTTACATTAGCCTACAAGGTAAAAAGTTCTGATTGAGGGTTGAGGTCCCACTATAACAAAGCAATAAGTAGATCTCATAGGGAAGATCCTCAAAGTGCCTTTACAAGGAAGGCTCACAAAGAAACTGAGGGAGGAGAACAAGGGAAGGATACAAACTTGAGTATATTTTCTAAGTCAGCCAATCTTAGTTTTTTTCATCAAAGCCTAAACAGAAAATCTGTGAATTTGGTACTTTTGTCTAATCAGAATTCTAGACTGCAATTAGCACTGAAGTTAAGTCAAAACAAAATAGGGCATGCTACTGGAAGAAAGGAGGTTACTCAAATATCATTATTTTTAAGACTAGTGCTATGGCACCAGAAAGATTGTGTAAATTTTTTTTTGCGGGGGGGAAGAACAAATTCTCAAAAACCCAGCTAGTTTCTCTAAAAAATGAGCCTATAACATTAAGAGCCAGTGTTTATTTTCACATGTGATTGCCTATAAAATCCCCGATTCTCACTAATCAATTCAACTTCCTGAACGACATGTCCTTAATCAAATGTTTTATTTATAAACATACTATGATCTGTTACATTTCCTTCTACATCAGTTTTCTTGATAAGCAAGTTGAGCTAAACATTCAGTTTGTGAATTTTAGAATCATTTTTCATTTATATTTTATAAAATAAAAGTTCTTAAATTATATTTGTCAACTATATATATGTAGCAGTGACTTAATACAAAAAGTTTTGTGAGGTAAGCTCAAAACTACACAAAATATTATAAAAATTCAGAACACATTAAAATTATAAAGGGTCAGAAACTGATAGAAATACTTGCTAGTAAGCAGCATTCTTAGATGTATAGTTAAAACATTAATTTTCTAATTGTGAAGAAATAAATGAGCTTAAACCTTGGAGTCTCAAGAACAGAAAACATGAGTAATGCCTGAATGAAGTTGTTACTCTTGCAGCAATAATTAAGAATCGATCTTACACAACTTGATAATTTTAAAAGTTCTTTTTTTTAACTCTAAAAAGAGTGATATCTAGAAAGAGCTGAATATAAAATTTCAACAAAATATGAGCTTTATTCACCATAGATTCAAACTGGGGAAAAAAATATAGTCTTGTTCACAGAGTTATATCTATGCTTAGCAAAATTACGAAGAAGCTACCTTACTCTATTTTCTTATTCTTTCTTATAAAACTTTTGAAGATAATTAAAGCATAGAAAGTACTCGAGTGACAACAGAATCGATAGGGCCTATTCCTTGTTGGTAAGAAAAGGTTCACGTCTGTATTTAGTAAAGAATATCAGGCCCACATTATAATGATTACATTGATACCATGCATTATTAAAAACACACATTAGAGATTTTCTTTGCTTTACATGGATAAAGTTATACAACAGAAGAGAAATAATTTCATATTACATTTAATAATCTTTACTAAATTTTGCCTTTATAGCAAGAATATACAAGTCAGTGATACAAAAGTGTATCTTTCTCATTAAGTACTGTTTTTGCCACTGCCTTTAAAAAAAAAGCCAGCTACTAATTCCATGTAAAAACCTTCCAGAATTACTGTTCTTTATTCAACAGTTTCCATAATTCACACATTTCATGAACATATCTATTAAGCACCAGGTGCTACGTTTAGTAATTAGCATACAAGGATGAATAAGACATAATCCCTAGTCTTAAGGAACTCAATGGTTTGAACATAATTGAAGTAGTATAAGACTGTTTTTCATACCACAATGTATAAAACAAGTTAGTTAATATTTTAATATTATAAACTGGTACTGTCACATACAGGACTTAGTAACACATCCCAAATACCTAAAACAGTGTCTCGTACATAGTAGCTATACAATAAACATCTGTTGAGTGAAGTGATTACTCATTAAGAGCAGAAGAGGCACATCCATGGGACTGATTCCAAAGGGCTTCATCAGAATAGGAAGTTGTCCTGAATTTTCATTTAAACTTGCAAGGATGCTTCTTACTAGTTTCCTTTTGCCTTACATGTCACCAACCCTGAGTCCTAATTTTTTTTTTTTAATTACCACTTGGCCTTTTATTTCTCCTTGATTCCATTTAGGCCACATGTTGGATTTGATCACATAAAATTCTACCACCTCCAAGTTCTTAAATTCTTAAATTTTACTCTAACCATGGTTTCCACATTTCCATTTCCTTATTTCTCAGCATGACCGTTGGTCTCTCTCAATCTTCTACCAGTCCCTTGACCCTATCTATCTCCTTCCCTCTCAATCCCATCTCGGCATCTCTCCTTGTTAACCTTGAAAGAAAACTCTTACACTTGTATGTCTACTTCCTCCTCACTTCTCAGAATCTTTAATAGCTGTGCCAAGTCCAAGCCTCCCTTCCATTTTGTCTGTAAAGGAACTTAAGTTTTCCTAACCACTAGATTCCATTAATCTTTGCCCTTCTCATTTTTAAGCTGTCTCTATAAATCTGGCATTGCTGATTACCTCTTCCTTATTAAAACCCATGTTTACCCTTAAGCTCTGGGTCATGGAATTATTTTGATGTTCTTCTTAACTATATTTTTCCATAATACTACTGTCCACTTTACTGGGTTTTCTTTTTTCTAAATGTAAGATTCTTAAAGATTTTGTTCAACTGTCTCTTTTTTCCTCTTTATATTTTCTTCCTCAGTCATTTCATGGGCTTCCACTATTTTAACTATCACTTCTATGCACATGAATTCTAAACTAGGATTTTAGCTCCCTGAGAGCAAAACTGAATCTCATTCATCTCGGTAATCCCCAATACCTGGCATAATCTGAAATATAACAGGTGCTTAATGAATGTTTCCCACTGTTGTATTTTGGGTCACATTATTTCTTCTTCTTCAGACCCTCCATGCTTATATAACATGCTCTTTGACTTCTTCTGCCTTTTATAACCTTAACTATCCTTTCATAATCATCTCAAAAAAATATTGCCCAAGAAGTATTCCTGAATCTCCCAGACAGATATGTTTTGGACCTCCTTTGAATATTCATGATTATTCACAATCTGTCATCATACCATTACTAGAATATAAGGTTATAAAGGAAAGAATCATTTCTTAATCATTTTTACTCTGTACAAAACACTGTATAAAGCAAACTGTTAGCAGTTGCAGGGATAATACTTCATAATAATACCTGCTGTGGATAACTCTAAAATGGTAGTTTTCAATTCTTTGTTTCTCTCTTCCTTTAAAAAGCTAGAACAACCAGGAGTCATTTTTAAGTGATAAAAATATATCACATTTTTTCTCTGTTCCAATTATAAAAAGCATTCACATGTTACTAAAAGCTCTTTGGGTAATTAGAAGCTAATTTAATGACATCTATGTTGTGGCTTTAATCTTGTTATACAGCAAGAGGGTGCTGTTTCGGTTACACCCTTTGGTTTCATTGCCAGGACAATGCCCTTCGCCTTCTCCAACTGTCTTGAAACTTCAAGCTACTGTTCACAAGGGGATTTTTGATCACAGACTGGAGATGACTCAGTGAACTCTACAACTACATTTACAACAAAGCATATTCTGTATTAACAAAAGAGCAGAATATCTTCTTATAGGAAACAAAAGACAACACAAGCCAAACCAGCTCTATTAGATTTATGACTACAAAAATAAAATTATTTGGATATTAGCATGCCCTGCTTTTGGAGAAGTAACTTTTTTCTACATTAATATACCTAATATCAG